GCCAATTGGTTCATTACGTACTGGCGTGTTCTGAAATGAGCCAAGGTGATGATAGGGGAAGTAGCCGGGGGATCGACCAGCGGCGCCAGAGACTCAAACATAGCCTTGTCTGCCACTAAGACAGGGAGGGTATAGATCTCACAAGAACAACTCACTTTGCCGCGATGGCCGTTCCTAGATTCTTGAGATGATATGATCCTCCAACCTCCACTGCGGCTCCGTTGTGGTCAAGTGCCTCGACTTACATAAGTAAGCCACGCTTGACAGTGCCGTGACTAACAAGTCAACTAACGTGGTGTGACGGGCTGAGATGAGTGAAAGTATTGGGAGTGGCACATGTGGGAGCTGGCGCCACACCGCAATGCTGGACCAAGCCCCTGGTTTCCCACCCCCAGCATACCGCATTTTGAGAACTACACACTCCTCGGACTTTACACACGACGAATGTGCATGTATCGACATAATTCATTTGCACTAGACCCATCTTTCTCCTTCGACCAAGGATCTTATCATGCACCAATGCTGCTCTTCATAACGCATTGGCCTAGAGCTAACGAAATATGAAATGATGCCGACGGTCGTGGGTTGGCGTGATGCTATCCCTGCGTACATGTACAGTAGCGCCTCCATAAGCTGACTGTATCAACATCCAACAAGGACCAGGGTATAGCTCTCCACAACCAGGGATGGCATCATGCCAATGGTATGATTCCATTCAGAAGTTCAGCAACCAACGGCTCGTTCCATTTCCGGAAAGTGGGCTCTCCCTGTATCCCTCTTAAGCCATAGCATGTAGCACAACGGCCAAGCACCGTTCGTTCTGGAGCGATTGGTTTTTCAATTACCTTCTTTTGACGTAAGGAACCACCAAAATGGCTGTCAAGAATCGAGTGTTCCTATTGGCACCGATAGTCCTGGGCCTATCGATACTCTATGTCTTCCTAACCAAGGGAGGGACAGAGCCAGCTGGACCCGTCCTGCCTGGCCGGAACAACACCGCTCTCTTTATCACTACCGAAGCTAGCGGATTGTCCAATGTGCACCTGGCGGCGACCACGTCGCTCCTGGAGAAGCACCCTTCCGTTGAGATTCATTTTGCCTCGTTTCCCAAGCTCCGTGAGAAGCTGAACCGCATCTCGTCGGCCGCCGAGGGAAACATTCGGCCCATTGAATTTCATGAACTGCCGGGGCTGGATATGACGAATGCCGTCCTGAGAGAATGGAAGAACTTTGACTACCTGATCTCGCCTCCTGCGTTCCGTGGGCTGAAGAAGACACTGAGTGACTACGGAGTCATCTCGACCTCTTGGGAACCCGAGGAGCACTGGGCCATCTACAACCGCCTTCTGGAGATAGTCGAGGAGGTCGATCCCGCCATTATTGTCCTAGATGCTGTCTTCGCGCCTGCTGGGGACTTGGTAGCCAATGTCAACCGGCGATTCACATTTCTGAGTCCAAACACGGCGAATGAACTGTTCGCCATGGATCAACCATGGGGCGCCGGTTTCTGGAAATACCCTGCGTGAGCACAATTCTCATTCATGTTTAGTCACAGACCCCTCTAGCTAACTGGATTCTTAGCCTCGCATCGGGCTACCCATACCCCATTCCTTGGAACCTGGTGCCGTCCAACATCTGGCTGCAGATACGCATGATTATCGGGCTCTTGACCAACCCTCGCATCGTTGCCATGCAGAAGTATCTAAAAGGGCGCGGGGTGAAGAACCCAATCCAGCCGGGCTTCGGCATCCCAGGAGTCCCTGCAATCATCGCAACATTCCCCGAAGCCAATTTGCCCCTTGAGGTGATTCCCGAGACGACGAAGTTCTGCGGCCCCGTCGTAGCAGATGTCGCGACCGTTGAGGAGCAAGACCCGGAGCTTTCCTCGTGGCTGAAGCAGGGCCCGACGATGATGGTGAACCTGGGCAGCCTGGTTCAGTACTCCCAGGAGCGAGCCTCGATCATGGTTGAGGCTATTAGGATCGTCCTGGCTTCGGCGGAGAACAACCACGTGCTCTGGAAATTCCGCAAAGCAGGTACCTATGGGGATGAAGTGTTCGATCCGGTGAGAGAATACATCAGCAACGGACGGCTCCGGGTTGAGACGTGGCTGAATGTTGACCCCATCTCATTGCTGCAAACGGGCGATATTGCCGTCTCGGTTCATCACGGCGGCGCTGGCTGTTTCCACGAAGCTATCTTGTAAGTTGATTTCACGACCTGGATTCCTCATACCCACATGCTTTCAAGGTTTTATTTACTGATTATTTGTGTCTTCAGTGCTGGCGTTCCTCAAGTCATTCTCCCCCTCTGGTTTGATCTGTACAATGCAGGCCGCACAGTAGAGTATCTTGGGATCGGCATCTGGCCAGGGCAAGAAGTAACGCCAGATTGGGAGGCAGAATCACTGGCCAAGGGGTTCCTAGAGGCACTGACAGGAGAGTCGAGCAAATCCTTGCAGAGCAAAGCCCGCTCCCTTGCAGAGACGGCCCGTAACTACGGGGGCCGCCATGCTGCAGCAAACTACATAGCGGAGATAGCTGCTCAGGGACAAGCGTCTGTGGAAGTGTAGGAAGCCACAAGTCGAAGCCCTTTTCTCCACTGCTGTGAATTTTAGCCTTGGTTTTGAGCAAACAGAAGTCCTGGGGGGAATTTGGGCACAGCCAGCCCATCCATACGTAATATCACACTTTTCACCCGGTCTTTGCCCGCCCCAGTTCATTAATATCTTGTGGATTCACGTACGTTATTCGGGTGGAGCTGTAAGCACTACGCAGTTTGGGAGACCTCAAGGGTCGCGATGCAGGGGAGAGTCCACCCTGGATGTTGCGTTGCATGACTTTTGACCTGATCCGGTCTGCCAAAAAGCTCTTCGGGGCAAATAATCATAACAGAGAGCTTGTTCGCGTTAAACTGCCCAAGGAGAGCAAACCCTAGCATGTCCAAAGTACTCCACCGTTTCCAGTATACAGGTAACGCCCGTGTCAAATCCGCGCCGCCTGGTCGCTCGCTAGGACTTAACTTTACTTCCCATGCAGCAAGGGTAAGGGATGTTCAAGGACGCTGCCATTTTGAGGTCCATATGCACAGATGAGGCAAAGGCCGTAGTTTCAAGGACTTAGCGGGGAAGGTGTTCCCATGTCCCGTCCCCCGTCCCCTTGGCAGTTGAGTCCCGGGTGATATTCCGGAGACGTGGTCCAGGAAAATCGGGTGAGGAGAATTCTCGCTCATAAAGGACTCGTGTGTTGTGCCCTTTTCCCGTTTCGTAGGTGTGGTAAAGGTGGGAGTTTCTTCTTTTGCGATTGAACACTCGCACCACTTGCAACTCTCATGAACCGGCCGCGTCAAAATAAACACCAAATCGCTGCTGGCAGTCTAATTCGGTGCCCATCATGGCTCCTCTCCCACACGGAGCCGTGGAGTTCATGGTGACGGCCGTTGTGTTTTATGCGTTGGCCCTCGCTGCTCTGGGTTTTCGACTGTGGTCCCGACACATCCAGAGGGCCGACCTCGCCTTCAACGACTACGCCGTCATCTTGGGCATAGTATTCTGTGCAGGCTCGATGGGAATGCCATTCGCAGGTAAGAGAATATTCCAATCCCTCATGCCATTCTAGGCTGAGGGAAACACGCGATGTCACCAGTGCTGATCAGTCACAGCCTGCATCAAAGCGGGATTAGGGGAACATCTCCAAGATATCTTGCTCACGGATCCTGGCAAACTCACTCTATTTCTCAAGGTGAGTAGTGGCTCCTTCTCAGTCGATTCAAGGACTATTAGTGCTAACGGCTGCGGACAGCTATTCGTCCCAGGGCAGCTCTTTTGGGCCGCATCCAATACCTCCGTCAAGTTTTCGATCCTGTCGCTATATCTCCTCATATTTCCCAGCCAGAAGTTCCATCGCCTCTGCTATACGGTCATGGTCCTTTCTATTTTATATTTTATCAGTGTCGTGCTTGAGGCCTTCCTGGTCTGCAAACCCGTCCAGTTCATATGGGACAAGAGCATCGAAGGTGGAACCTGCAATGGCGAAAACATTGCATATTTAGTCTCAGGCATCACCAATTTAATCCTCGACGTCATCATTGTTACAATGCCGATGCCCCTACTTCTTGGTCTCCATATGTCGATGGCCAAACGCTTGAGTATTGCAGCTATGTTCGGCCTGGGTATCGTGTAAGACTGAGCCTGTCCTCCCATTTATTTGAAGAAGTGGCACTAACCCTCGTTAGCATCTGCGTATTGTCGCTTTTACGAGTGATATGGATCTGGAACTGGGATCTGACCGATCTCACCTACACTGTCGTTCCGATCGCTATCTGGTCGGCCCTCGAGCCAGCGTTGGGCGTGGTCAATGCTTGCCTGCCGACTATGATGCCAGCACTGACCTACATGTTCGGGCCAGGCGCCTTCGGTTTCTCTCGAAGCGGCAACAGCGAGGGATTGAGCGGCAAGTCAAAGGACGCCTTACCCAGTCACGAGTCTCGTGGGAACTTTTCAAACAATAGGAAGCCGGTAAACCGAGACTTTGAGCGGCTCGAAGACGAGTTTCCTCTCACGGATATCCATGTCGATTCTTCGTCCAACTTCACAAACCACAGCGGGGCTGGAATTACAGTAACAAGGAAGTGGGAACTCAAAGAGGCGCGCTCGGAAGTTCGAGATTAGACTAACTAGCTCAACTAATATTATCCTCCTCTTGTCGAAGGTGACAAGAGGTGCTCAATACATTTTCTCCGTTTACTACCAAAGGAAACCCTATCTTATTCAACGAGACAAATCCAGTCATGTAAAGTAGATTATTTATTGTCTGATATCGTCTATTGACAGATTGTTGTTACTTATTGTTCAACAAACCGAAGATTTATCATGTCACGATATTTCTTTCTTGATACATTACCCAGAACGATAGGATAGAATAAATTGCCGAAGCAAAGTAGACATCATGCTCTATCCCCAACCCACTCCAAACTAATCATTCCAAACTTTCATCCAATACCTACTCTTCGATTTTCTCAAAGTGCGCTATAGAGGTACCTAGTATTCCCTCCACCGCATTTAGAACACACTTTGGCAATAGTGTAGCTCCAGGGGGCAGCAGGCTCCGTTCAGATCTACACCCGGAAAGCCCAAGTCTACCAAGAACCCTTGAAACACACATCTCGTAGGAGGGCCACGAGCCAATTCCTATTTAACGCTAGCACCAGCGTGCAGGGGGGCATAACCCCTTCTATTTGCCCTCTTGTAATAGTTAAAGGGTACCATAATATAGAAAAGGCCAACGGGGCCAGAGTTCAGGAACAAACCAAAGCTTTCGTATATCAATCTCGCAGATGTACACAAAGGGTATTAGCTCACCATATTTTTCGAGGCGGCCTTGGAAGCGAGCATACTCATCATACATAGTAGCTAGCGTGCTTCACGGATACGAACGGGGATTTCCTCTTCTGTCAAGGGACCGAGATGAATGTGGCGGCCTGTATGAATTTTGAATGGCTGTTCCAGTTTGAGAATAGCCTCGAGTACTTAGACATAGATTAATGGAGCTTCGATCATAAGCGAGGCAGTTCGGATTTTGAAGTCTGAAGGAAGTTCCACATCTGAAATTTCATCCCGAACATATCTGCTACCTTCAAAGGCTATCGTATAGTGAAAGAAGGTTGAACATAGAGTCATCTATGCTACAACCAGGGATAGAGGGTCTCTCCATCTCCTATTATAGCGCTAAGGAGAAAGTAGCTCGAGACGGCGACTGGACGTAGGTGAAGAAAACTTAAGTTGCAGGTATGGGAAGAAGGGGAATGGGAGCAGGAGGCGAAAGCTCTTATTCATAGCTGGAGTCGCCCGCCACCATAAACTTCTACATCAGACTAATCAATCCTCCGTATCATCTGATATTGGATCAGAAGATCCCGCCCAGCCCCAGGACCAATCCCCCGTCCCTCGAAAACCCGACCCAAGCTCCTCGGTCCGCGATAGCAATTAAAGCAAGCATTCAAGACCCGAGTAATATCATTCTGCCAACCAATTTCCTCCTCCAGTTCCCTCGCAACCATCTCACACCGCACGAGGATAGCCCAACAGTACTCGATGTACGTCTTCAGATCCTCCGCGTTATCGGCGTGGAAGGGATGGTGCGGAACGCGCAGCCGGCTCTGGGGAGCGTCATAGTCCGCTTCCACCAGAATTTCGTTGACGAGCTCGGGCGGGAGCTGCGTCTGGTTGACCAGTCCCGCCCTGACCTGTGCGATGTCAACTGCGGTAGGCAGATGCCCCCTTGCTTCGCCCTGGCAGTTCAGAAACTGGTCGTAAGGCATGAATCCTTTCGACATGAACGGGTATTCAGGGGAAATATCATTACCGCCAGGCCCGTCGTCTGTCGTTTTGGGGACTGGACTCAGCTGACCTCGCTCAAGGCCAAAGAACAGCCGGTGAGGGAGCTGAGTGACGTCGGCTGTCCATCTGTGCTCGGTTGCGTGAATCACCATGTTCTGGTATGCCTTGGAGTGGCGGTAGTCCTTCTCAGGAGCTGGATACTGGGAGCCCGTTCCCAGTTGGTCGGGGAAGTAAGACAGGACGTTCAGCACAATGTACGACATCAAGGCGCTGGTGTGCATCCTCCTCCAACTAATCTCCTCGGAGGGACTATAACAGCCTATCCTGGAGCACCCGCACCTGGGTGCATCCCACCACGTCCGGATATCTGCCTCCGGATGGGAACAAATCCGGAGAAGTGTGCTCATCTCCCCACGCATCAGGAGCGTCTTGGCCACCTCCGCACTAAACAGTGCCGGTCCGTTGGTCTCAAAGAGGGTTTGGCACTCGTTCGTGGTGAACTCGTGCAAGAAGGCCTTCATCTTACGCTGCTCATTCGGAAGCACATGGCGATACTCCATGCCGCCATAGCCACGTTGATAGAGTATCTTGTCGAACTCTCCTCGGTCTGCCGGGTTCGGGAGCTGCTCCCACTCCGACTCGTCCATCAAATAGAGCATGCAGCGAAGCTCGCGGTCTCTCCGCCACGTCTCAATAGCCGGGTTGATCTTCTCAGCCACCCCATCACTAATCACAACATCCTCCGGCGATGGACCCTCTTCCTTCTCGGGAAATTTCAGACGCTCCTGCGTTGCGCGTTCCCGAATCCTCGCGGAAAGAGTACTGACGAACTGGATAAAGCTCTCCTGCTGGTTATCGAGCCTTCGCGGGTGGAAGTTTGTGGCGCCGAAACAGCACTCTGCCTCGAACTGCCACTCAAGGCTCGACGCCAGGCTCTCCCAGGGGATTCTATCCGCTTGATGGCCCATTGCGATTGACCAAGCTGTGCTGTCTATCACGTTGTCAGCGTTGAAGTGGAGAAGCGGGGGTGAGAATGCTCACAGTGGCTGAGCGTGAGCGGTGTGTTGTTCTTAAGAGCGGACAAATGGAGTAGAGAACGATCCCTCACATCATGAGGCTATTTCAAGCACATATAGACGCCAAAATCTGGTGGTAATATTTTGAGCCAAGGCAATAATCATTCGATGATCAAACAGCCAGTAAGATTGAATATATTGGTTGCTGCCTAACACGAGCGCCCCCCGAAAAAAAAGAATAGCTGGTGCCTAACGCAAAAGTCTTAAGTGTAAAATTTTCATATCCTCCCTCCTCCTTGAAAGAACGTCGAGAGACGCCGATCAATATCGGTGCCTTGTACTGTAATCTTTGGGGCTCACCACTAGACCTCTGCCCTTCTTGGCTCCCCGGTAGATCGTCTCAATGATGTCGATGAGCTCCTGCTTGTCTTCCAGCACCCAGTTCAACTTGTTGTTGTTACCGGTGCCGAAATCGCACATCATGTGCTTATTTCGGAAGAAGAAGAGAATGGAGCAAGGGTCGTACAGCTCGTACATGGCGTTGAAGTCAGGAACCTGGAGCGCGGTTAGGAGTCAGGAGAGCGACACGGGAGATGGCGCGACCGGGGAGAGCATACCTGATCAATATCGCAGAGGTACACGACAGCAAAGTTCTTGACCTGGTCGGCGATCTTGTAGAGGACCTCATCCTGGAGCATACAGTCCTAGCAAGGAGAAAGGTCAGTAAGTGGACAGAGAGCTGGGCTCCATGCAAGGAAGCGGGCCGACTCTTTATCTTACCCGGTCATGGTCACGTCCAAATCGAATAACGACGAGACGGTCCTCTTCTATAGTCAGAGAAAACAAAGAGTTAGCCCAGCTCATGAATGAGGATGCACCGTGGCAACGAGGGGGAGAAGTGCAACGAACCTGACAGGATGGCTTGGTCCACGTGCCATCCTGAGTTGAGGTGAGGAAGGACGACTGATCCCATGTTTGCGACAGTTGTGTTTGGCCCTTGGTGTGATTCAAAAGAGCGAAATGCGCGAAGTGCAGCAGCCAACAAGTTGAAGATGATTCATGCTTCAAGCAGAGAAGCCTGAAGACGAGCAAAGTGCCCCGCACATATCGTATCTTATCTTATCCCCCGCTACTGTGGCGGTGCATAAGTGTGGCTTATCGTGTGGCTGTCCAAGAGAGCGGTTGATGCACCCAAACATCACCTTGGTTTTATCTTCAAGTCTGCGACAGGTATTATCAGATTGAGGCTAATAATAAAATATTCAAGAGACAATGCATTACCAATTGTCAATTTATATCGTTTTATGCCGTTGTGGGCATTGTCGTATTGTTGCAGAAAGTGCTCTGCCATGACTGCTCTTCGATTTGATGTCTCATTTATTCTGTCACCCAATTGTATGGTCAAGACGAGGAAATGGTATTTGGAACTGAAATGTTATTAGGGTATATATCTCCTCGTCACAAAACACCACCGATGCATCCATAGATAAGCGCTTCATCGTATGCAGCAAAAGAAACCCCCCAATAAATGAACATCTATCCACATCCCATCAACCCCTCCGGCGTGTCGCACGAGCTGGCGCCGGCGCCGGCTCAAAGGCGTCTTCATCATCGGAGATCTCATCATCACTAATCTCAAAGGGGGCAGCACCGCCAACCTTCCTCTTGCTCTGCGTTGCTCCAGCTTGACTCTGCGAGAAATTCAGTGTAGTCTGCCGAGTCCGCGTGCTGCGAGTGGGTGCGGGTGCAGGTGGAGGCGCCGCCTTTCTTGTAGTTCTCTGCCTCGTTGTAGTTTTGGGCGGCGGTGGTGCCACATCTTCATCAGACTCCATAATGACGTCTGGTTCTGGCTCCTCCTCCTCCTCTTCGTCTTCGACCTGCTGTGCTCCCCTACGACCACGTGTAGACCGAGCTGGCGCTTTCTTCGCTGGTGCCTTCTTGGCTGCTGGCGCTGCTTTCGTGGTCCTAGAAGTTGTCGCGCGCTTTGTAGTCTTTTCTGGAGGAGGCTGGCTCTCCTCCACTTCCATATCATCCTCCACTACTTGCCGTGATACCTTTGCTCGAGACTGTCGGCTAGACTGCTGGGTTGTCGGAGCCATACTCTGACCACCTGCATCCTCGTATGTCCAGGCATCCGGCTCGTTTGCCCATTCACCATCAAAATCACTACCCCATGTATCCGGTTTCGGCTTCAAGACACGTTTCCGCTCAGGGATGTTTGCCGTAACTGCACCCATCGCCATTTGCTGTTCCATTCTAGTCTTGTAAATCTCCATCGCGCTGCCGAGATCCTCGTCATCTGATTCCAGCCCAAGCATCTGTTGAACCTGGCCGGTGAGATGATCTGTGACAAAGAGTTCCATGGCATGCTTGTCGTCCTTGGTCACGAATCGGTTGACAGCATCACCAAACGGACCTTGGGGAAGAACCTTGAGAGACTGTGCTTGGAGGAACTCCGTCACGAGAGATTCGACCTTGACGGCGTCGCTGCCGTCGTTCAACTCCTCGAGGGCCTGGGTTGGGTTTGTCGCATTCGTTTTGCCTGTTCGTGTTGGTTAGCTCATGTTTGGAAATGGAACGAGCCTGGGGCCAGCATACGCTCTTGCTTCTTCTTTCGGTGGAAATAGATCACGTCGTTGGTGTTGGCCACCCTTCCCGCAAACCGGTTTGAGAAGCGCTGGGGGTTCTCGCACTCAAACAGGCCACCCTCCAAGGCTGAGAATTCTACCTTCAGCCGGATGAGTGGCAAAGGACGATCCTCAAGAGCCTCGTCGTCCGTTTGGATAGCCTCCCAGTCCTGGTTGGCCTCCTCGATCATTTCGTCAACCACCTCCATCAATCGCCTTGTGACCTCTTGCTTGTTATCCTTCTTCTTGTCGAGACCCTTGAATCGCTTGTCTTGAGCAAGCACCAACTCCCTCGTGACAAAAGGGCGTACAGACTTGAGTGGTATCTTCTCCATCTTGAAGTTCTTTCCAGTCACACTCACGACAGCCACGTGCTTCCGTACAGCCTCTCCCGGCACCAATGAGGTGGCAACCGACGACCCAGGCTGCATTACATGGATCCCCGTCTCTCCGTTCTGGGTGGGATCAATCAAGCACTCATGCTCGTGACCCCAGACGACCAGATCGAGCCAGTCGGGCAGGGCAGTCTCGGGGAGGTATGAGGTCGCCGTGTGGGCATGATGGTTCTGGTGCACGGCCAGGAGGTTGAACCAGTCGCGCTCCTGAACGTTGGGGTGGAACCATTTCACCTTGTTGTCTCGAAACGTGCGGAACATGCGCTCGTCGCGCACATTGCTGAGCCCGAAAAGTGCGAGCTTCGTGGTACCCTTTTGTAAGAGAATTGGCTTCGCCTCGATATTATCGGCCTCGGCCACTCGCCCAAAGTAGTTCAGAAGCCCGCTGGCCTGGAGGAGGTCGAGAGAGCAATAGTTACCGTCGCCAGACGGGTCGTCGTGGTTTCCGTGGATGGAAAAGACGGGGATGGAAATGTTGATATCGGGATCTTCGTAGTTGACGTGCGTGAAGGCACCTTCAAAAACCTCGGAGGCGTCGGAGAGGAACTCGAGAGGGCACGGTCGGTTGCCTATACAGTTCTGTCGGAGAGTTCGCATGACTTGGTAGAGGGACTTGCGGGACGGTTTGTTTTCGTGGAAGAGATCGCCGGCGAGAAGGACCATGTCGACCTGTATTCAGCGGTATGTTAATTACGGTGATCCATTAGGGATGGTCGAGGAAGGGAAGGCGGGTTTGGTCTGACATCCTCGGTGCGGGCAAGGTTCATGATCTCGTCAAATGTCCGCCAGCTGTCGTCCTTTCTGATAGCATCTCGTTCCTCGTAGCCGACATGGTTATCTGTCGCAACCAGAATGCGGATGGTGTCCGCTTCTACAGGCAGGTTAGATCGCAATGGAGCATGTACTTGAGCTCATAGAAATACCTGAGGTGTCTGTCATGGTGGATTGGCACAGTTCTCCTCTCTTCCCCTTCAATTGGGCGAATGAAGCGAGGGCATGAAATCAGACGAAAGCTTGTGCGGCCAACTTCGCTCGGGCGCCGGAGTCAGAGCTTGTGCCAGGCAGAAGACGCGGGGCGGTGGCGGCCAACGCGAAATGGCAATCGCGGAATCACGTGGTCTCTCTACGATGGTCAGCACCGTCATCGACCGCTTGACGTGCACTTTGTCATATTATATCTTTTGTTTGAACAGAGCATCACATAAGTTGGTGATTGAAATTAATGAATCTCTTATGACTATGGTCATATCTGTATTTGAAATAAGAAGAGCCGTCTGTGAGGCTGTCTTTGTGGTAACAGGAAGATATATCTGTTCACCCATCATGCTGCTGTTTAAGATAAAATTGCATCCAATCTTTGGATCGTCTAACATAAAAAAGAAAGAGAAAGAGAATGGAAGACGTTGAAATATTGCTCTACATCCAATCATTGATAAAAACCCCCGCCAAAACGCCATTTAATGAGAGAGAAGAAACAAATCGCTCCGCTAGAAAGAATGAAGTGATAATATAGATACTTCAGATGACAATGCCACGCTGCTGCCATCCACCCTTGCCCTTCCAGGCCACCAATAATAAGACGCAGGCTGCCAGGCAGCTGATGACCTCGGCCCAGAATGTCGGCGCATAGCACTGCTTTCCGTAACAGAAAACATCGTCGCTGCCGCCATCCTGGCCGCCAGGGGCATTCTGCGTCTCTCGGGCCCCGGCTTGGTACACTGTCGAGTAGATGAAGCCCCAGAATACCGATCCGATGGCAGGCATAGTGGCGATGATGCCGAAATTGGTAGCAAAATTCTCCACTCCCCAGATGATTGTCACAATCAAGGGGGTCAGGCTGAAGATGGCTCCATAGCCAGCACCAATAAGGCCAGAGACGGTCCAGAACCGCTCGGCATGGTTCTGAACGACACCGGATGCGAGAACCAGTAGACCAGAAGCAAGGAGGCCGGCAAAGAAGAGGTAAAAGGCAACGCGGGAGACGGAAAGGCGGCCCAGTGGCGAGGAAGGACGCGCAGCACCAACCTGGGCATGCTGGGTGTGTGGCTGAGGGGCGAGGAGGTCGGTGAGGGTACCGATGAGAAGGCGAGCGATGGTACTCGTAACACCAAAGATAGACACATGCGTCGCGGCCGAGGTCGGGCTGGACATGCTGATTGTGTCTGGAGGGGTGAGAGTGCCCAGAACACTTCCCAGAGTGTTGACGAACGCCTCGCCAGGCCCGATGACCAGGAGGAAAGCCAAAGCGAATATGTACATGGTGTGGTCCGATAGAAAGGCGCGGGTCTCGGCATTAAGAACCCAGTTCTTCTTCCATGTTGCGTCGTCCTTTGCGGAATCAAACGGATCTGTATCCTCATTAGGCTCCGCGGAGGCCACACCACCGTAGCTCTGAGATCGGCTCAAGAAGGAGCTGCCGTTCAACAAGCCGCTGTTCTCAAGCTCTTCGATGGCCTCTTCAATGAGATCCTGCTCGTCCACCACACGCAGGGTAAAGCTGCAGATAATGCCCATGACGAACAACAGCACCGCCAGGAAGATGAAGAACCGAAAGACGTCCACGTCCCCGTGTGAGCCGTCGGGGCGTCGCTCATAGAACACGTTGGTGCCTGCTTGGCTCAACCACATCCCACTCAGACCAAAGCACGTAATGGGCATCGCCAGCGCCAGACCGCGGTATTTGCCCTTGCCGAAGTTCTTGGCCACCGTCGAGACCGATGAGATATACCCAGCACAGGTAGCTGCGCCAATGCACACAAAGGCAAACACCATGAAGGGGTACGACCCATCGCTTGCGCCTCGGGGCTTGCCCACAGAGTTGTATTCGAGATCGAGCTTCCTATAGATGCCGGCGGCGAGGCCGTAGCCGAAAGCGAAGAGGATAGCGGAGACGAGGGCAAGAGGTCGTGCGCCGTAGCGATCGCATATATATCCCAGGACGGAAATGGGCATGTACAGTGCAATGGAGCAGGCACTGGCAGCACCGTTCACCTGGAGCTGGCTATAGTGTAGTCGGGACTGGAAGAGCGGCGCATACATGGAGAAGACCATGCTGGAGCCAGCGCAGAGGGCCAGCATGTTGGCCGTCATGAAGGCGACTAATCTGACGGCATGCTTCTTGCGGCGGTCGCGGCGTCGGTTGAGATAGTACGAGGCATCGGAATCGTATGTGTCATCGTCTTCGACGTAGCCGCTCAGGGTCGACTCCTGATCGGAAGCGACTTCTCGAGGCTCATCGCGGAATGTCTGCTGGCCATCTCGCTCGACTGGCGCGGAGTCGGGCATCGTTGAGCCCTTGCCGCCGGGGGTATAAGGGGTGATGGACAGCTTCTGGGAGGACTGTGAGGTGGATGACAAGTCTCCGATTCGGTCGGTCTGCGAGGCGGATACGATACAATAATGGGAGGGAGACGGGTCAGCTGCTCGACGCCAACAAGGATGTATGGGAAGCCCAAAGGTAGACGGCAATGTCTAGTTTCCTGCCAGCTACGATGTGAGGAGAAGAAGTAGCAGGTCGGCAAGATGGCAGGGCATATCAATGGGAGATTGCGAGAGATGGCGTGCGCATGGCTGGAGCACGAGCAAGGGTTGGTTGGTGGATGCGGAGGAACATTCCATGAACTGTCACACGGGCAGTGTCCGGCCGCTGCACCCGCTGCGAGTCACTAAGCGCTGGCGATGTCGGCACCTGATAAGAGCAGCTGCAGCAGGCGATAACGGACAGTGCCTCCATCCCGTCTGCACCGACTTATGTATCGCCTGGCGTCGAGTCATCGATGTCGTCAGGCGTCGGCCGCGTCCAGATAATTTTTTTTTGTAAGATTGTCTTGCGCCATAGGATTTAAACCTCGCCACTGCAGATTGTGCTCCCTTCCGTGGAACCTGGCAATGGACCGTTGCTGTTCTGGTCGCCTCAGAGTCCCAAACGGGGCAAGTTGATGCATCTCGATGCGCCGCCGACGGCTACCACCCACCCGTCAATCAATTGATGGATGGATGCCTCGTCACACAGCATTAAAACAGGTAATTCCCATCTCCAGACACATCGCAGATACGCAATCTCGGTTTACCCCACACGAGGAGGTGCATTGTGTCCGTACCACCCACCTCCGAATAGGGTACACGAACGAACGCAGCTGTCCACATGGCTCTGGGAGCTACAAGATACATAAGTAGGTACCTATATTTGGCAAACAAAGCTCGATACAAGCCCTCGCACCTGGTATCAAGCACGCGATTCCGCGAGGTGGCCTGCTGGGTTGCGCATCCCTTCCGAAGCCTGCAGGTGGGCCGAATCCGCCCCTCTGACTGAGGCTTGATCGGCTGATCCTTTGCATGAGCGTTTTTGGCTCATCATGCAGCTGGACTACTGTCAATCACGTTCAGACAAGTGTTCACGCTCAATATCAGCCTCATTATCAGTTCCACCATGAAATCCTATGCCAGGCGATGCCTTCCAATTGGCAACAACACTGATTGGCTGTGTCGTAGCAAATATGTAGGTGGTGGTCGTGGTGCAGTTTTAGCGGTTACACAAGTGTGATGCCACTAATGAAACCCCCAGACAGCGGCCAGTTCCTCTAGACATCTAAATTCAGGGGTTTAGTGGCCACTGCGTCCGCTGTAACATCAATTGAACCTTCTAACCCGTCATGTCATTGAATATCTGGTGCATGATGTGTGTCTTGTAGCAGAACGTGGCGTGTGCAATGGATATCATATTCTGTTGGAAATAGTCTCCGGTAAAAGTGATGTTGACCACTTCAAATTCAAGGCCTTCTATATATTATCACAGGTACCTAGTTATAAACAAAGTTGGCGGCGGCGTGTGCCCCAGGGGCCGCAGAGAGTGAGAACCTGATCCTTTTGCCATTGAACATATGAAATAATACGATATTGATGAGCTCATAATACATAGCGTTTGCCCATTACCGTTGTTCTTGTACACTTGAACCAACAAAACCAGCCAAGAACGCCAAAAATCAGTCGTCCAGCGTCCTAATCCTCGCCGAAGTGCCCTCCACCATGTCCAGCCTGCCCTCTCACAATCGCTCCCGTATCTATTGACTACGATTTGTCACTGTTAGGTCAGTCAGCTCGAAAACCGCTGTTCAGGATCAGGCAGGGGGTGACTTACAGCAAAGCCAGGGTCAGATCACCGTGGATGCGGGCCTTGAGCTCAATCTCAATCTCCAGGTTCAGGTCCAGTCGCAGCTTGAGGGCGTCGTCCTTGCCGCCGCTGTCCTGCTTTTGTACCTGTTGCTGTTGTTGCTGTTGTTGTACCTGTTGCTGTTGTTGCTGTTGCTGTTGGAGAAGCTGCTGCTTTTTGCGCTGGGCGAGCATCTGCTGCTCATGCTTGGGGGTGGAGGGCTCATCATCATCGCTCTCCGTCTCAGAGTCCTCCTCCTCCTCATCTTCATCCTCGTCGTCATCTTCTTCTTCACTTAGATCCTCATCATCGTCGTCGTCGTACTCGTCGCTATCTTCATCGTCGTCATCCTCTTCTTCATCGTCATCTTCCTCTTCTTCTTCCTCCTCCTCATCCTCATCTTCCTCATTGTTGACTTGGGGCTGAGGGCGAGGCTTCTGTGCAGCTTCTTCCTCAGTCTTTTCTGCAGACTCCGGCTTGGCTTGTTCTTCGGGTTTCAGGTCCGGTTTCTCTTCAGACTTCTCTTCAGACTTCTCCTCAGCCTTCTCTTCCGGCTTTTCTAGACTGTCCTCAGCCTTCTCTTCCGGCTTTTCTAGACTGTCCTTGGATTTCTCTTCAGGCTTCTCTAGAGTGTCCTTGGGTTTCTCTTCAGACTTCTCTGCCTTGTCTTCAGGTGTCTTCTCAAGATTCCCGGGTTTCTCCTCGGGCTTCTCTTGCTTGTCCTCAGGCTTATCCTCAGATTGCTCTCCAAGCTTCTCCTCTGGTTTCTTTTCTTCGTCCTTCTTCTCGTCAGGCTTCTTTCCGTCAGGCTTCTTTCCGTCAGACTTTTTCCCTTTGGGTGTTGGTTCAGGCGTAGGGAGGTTCTCTCCACCCTGTCCCGCATTCTCCTCCTGATCGCCCTCGGCGTCTTGAAAGTCGGCGCCCGACTCGTACTCCTCGTCGTTGTCTCCTACATTCTTGCCCTGGTTATCGAGGGTCTGGTCGTCTTGCTGAGGCTTCTCAACGTTGCTTGAGCCGGGGTTGCTCTGGTCTTTTGACTGCTTATCAGCCGTGTTGTTCGCTTGCTGCAATGGCAGTGTTAGCTTGAGGTCAGGTGCGAGGTTCCCTTCTGCTGTAAACCTACAGATGCCATGTTGTCGTCGCCTTATCCTTTGCCTGATATAGGGTGTGTGTGCCTAGGTGCAAAGCTCGAGTTGATATTGTGACTGAATAAAATTAACGTGAAGAAATTAATGTACTGGTGGAATATGAGGCCAACTGTATGTATGGACCGCGCAGGCACGAACGCCCTTTTGTGAATGCCCTCGACCTGTACCCGTGGCCTTGATTCCCTCTTCTTACAGGGTGCCCAGCAGTGACGCAACAGATCCTCCTCCCGCGCGATCAGTGATATCAGACCCCACGGCAACCGGTTTGGCCAGGGCCGCCAAAGAACCGGGGGAGGGGGGGGCGTGTACGAAACGCGCCCTCCTCATCACGATCCGTCCTCGAGTTCACGCAACACGGCAAATCCTCAGGTCCTTCTTCATGTCTTCTATGACGCCAGACAGACCGGGATGCTGGAGAGCAAGCTCCCATCCCCCACTGTTTGAATGACGCCGGTGTGGGACAGATCCCTACCCCCTGTCCAGCCCTGTTTGCGCTGAACCTCCCGCAGAATGATCAAAGCTGCAGCATGCAGGCAGGCAACTGCAACCCTCTGGCCTGGCAGATTACGCCCCAGACTTGGCAAGTCAACGTCATGAGCTTCTGTCGTCTCTGGCTTGATTTCAATCCTTCTCGAACGGGGTTTCTCAATGCCCATCAGCTAGCTCCTACATCGTCCAAATAATTCATCTCTCCAAAGCAATTCTTGTTTATTCAATTAATCGATTCCACATCTCTTCCCACAATTTACTGCTTTAAGTAGTAAATCTCTACCTAGCCTGATGACATGGTGCTCGGGCTCCTCTTCATCACGGCCATTCCCACCGTGGCCGGAGTGGGCAATGCCATCAGCGCCCAGCAGCGGCAGCAGGAAGCAGCCAAAGACCAGGTCAAGTTCCATCTAACAGCTCTGATAAAACTCGGCGACGAGTATCAGGAGGGGGCGTTCTGCACCCTGGCCGACAACCAGGTAAGAAGGGTCTGACTTACACGGGGGGGGTGAGGAATAGTAACAACAAGCTTACACACCAACCACCCCAGATGTTCGTCGACCTGCCCGACTATCCCGCGCCAGGCCACCGCTTCCACGGCTGGTACTTCAAGTACCCAAGCGAGGAGGGCCACATGGGGCTGGTGAGCAGCATCTCCGTGGACCCCCCGATGCTCAACTGGATATACATCGACAAGGACACGGGCCAGGTGCTGTACGGCGCCAGGAAGGACACGGTGGACCACGTCATTGGGCCGTGGCACTGGAGCGACGACGAGGAGCTACTGACGCTCAAGGAGGACTACGAGCCGTTTGTGGCCAAGCGGGAGGAGGGGGGCAGGGCAGGTGGTGTGTGTACTGGGACCCGGAGCACAAGATGGAGGACTGCCTGCGGTTGAGGCTGCGGAGAAGAGTGCAGCAGGGGGTGAATAGCCGGTTTGTCAAGAATTAACTATCGTTTCTCGGTAGTTCCCCAGTCGGCCAAGTGCATGATTAGAGTCTGCCGTAGTAGTGTGTGTCAAAGCCTCAAAGGTCAGCAAGTCAATCAGGGAGAACAGGATTTTTCCAAATGCGGTGGGCAGGAAGACGCGTAATTGCACCCAAGATTCTACGACTGGGAACGGCTTCATGCCAAAATTGTGTTCTATTCCCAGAGAAGAACAGTCCCGTTCGGCCTGCCTTGGTCTGGTTGGCGCTTACTTAGCTATGGTGTCATAGCTTGGATACTAGTGGAGCTCTCATGAGGCGATCTGCACCCACAGCCGGAGATGGGAGATGGATGGATGGGATGAAGCATCCTGCCCGGGGGTGTGGCTGCATGGTGTGGTTATGCCCTCATCCGCTGTGGGCAGAAAGCGATCGATCTGGCTATGACTTCATTCGATGACCAAGGGTCCTGCAGGGAGGAAACAGGATACGATGGGGGTTATGAGCAAATGGCGTCTCATCAGAATACTGTGCTTAGAATAAAACCGACGACTGCTCGGCCGTCTTACACAATGCAGACTTACACCACATCAACCGACTCTACATCCTGCTTTACTTCGGTATCCCATCCACCACTCACAAATCCCATTCATCGCTTAGACACACTAGTACATCAAAAGAATTAGTCCACAATGGCACCCCCTACCATGGAGAAGCCCAAGGAGCACGTCGATGCTGCAGAGGAGTCGGCAGAAGAGGACGCCAGCACCAACAGCGCTTCGGCCGAGGAGACCACTCCTCTCCGCAAAAAGAAGACCCGCAAGGGAAAGAAGGCGCTCCAGAAGGCCAGCGGCTCAAGCAGTGCTCTCCAGGGCGTGGACTACCAGCGACAGCAGCAGCAGCAGCAACAGCAACAGCAACAGCAACAACAGGTCCAGCAGCCCCAAGAACAAGGCGGCGGCGGCAAGAGTGACACTCTGAAGCTACGTCTAGACTTGAATCTGGAAATTGAGATCCAGCTCAAGGCGAGGATCCACGGTGACCTCGAACTTGCTCTCCTGTACGTAATGTCTGCCTTCATTCTCCTCCCTTTATCCCTCTTCATCCTGGCCCCTGATTTCGACCGCTCATCTCTTCGAAATCAAGAGACGTGTAAAAGTAAATCACTCCCCCTTCCCTCATTCTCGCGACACACTTTGGCCAATCATTGTCTTACCTGAACCCTTTCCACAGCACTGGATGAAGCAATCAATACATATGCACCCCAACAGACAGCAAAACGTGCAGCCACGTTTTGACCCTCGGACATTTCTTCATCAAGGCTAATAATTCTTTTCCGCTTCCTTGCCGACATGCAGAAACTGAGACACCAAATATACTGTTTGCACTGAGATGCTGATTATTCAAATTACAAGGGAAACGTAACGGAGTTTAATTTTCGGGGTGCTTCAACCCCGTCATCGGCGGGAGGACATGGTTTATTTTGATTTTAGATTGCACCAAATGTACTTTATTTTCTTTGTCGCTTACGAGCAAAATCTATGGCCTACATAGAAATGAGATGACTGATGGAATGAAATGGTTTCAGCTCTGCGCTGCTCGTTGATCGCGTGTGTTTCGGTTAGGTCACACAACAACCGTGTGTCTCAGATGACCAGCCCCAGCTGCTGAATGCGAGAGGTCTGAGTGGGTGCCCTGTGAAAAGTGACAGGAAGCCCTCGTGTAACACAAAGAACCCGCAAACGTCGTGTCCCCGTACGTCGAGTCCCAGCTCGAGTCGCCTTGGCAGAACATCACGACGCCCAGCCTGTGACACGGCCAACTCCCAACCAGCAACCACACGCACCTTCTTACCTACTGTAGGCTCTGTGCTGCTCAAGTTCCAGCTAAAACTTCCCCGCAGCGGGTTGAGCTGCCGCTGTGGGGATGGTTAGATTCCAAGCCGTCTGGTCCCAACGGCGCCGGTGTATCAGCTAAGAACACCCCTGTCCCCTGCCATGCATCTGTGCCTTGATTTGAAGTCTTCCCAAGCCGTCTTGGTGGGCTGTGAGGCAAGCAACTTTCCAGGGATGAATTGGCAGGAGGAATATCGGTTAAGAAATACTTTGCTCACCACTTGTGTTATACCAAGAAAAATGTATTGTTGATCAGTACTCTACTATGATTAACTTCGCCACCAGCTACTTACCCACCTAAAATTCCATGTTCAAAGGCCTCTTCAGGTATCTCCAAGTATAGCCAGTCCAGCATAATTAAGTGGGTAAATTACCTCGCTGTCGTCTTGCTGTAGGGGCACCAAGGAGCTATGTGAGAGGATCTTCCTCGATCGCCAGTCCAAAACTCCGATCACGATCACAACCCAGACTCTACCCCTGCAACCCTGTTCAAGGTAGCGTCAGTCCTGATTGCTGAATCTCGTTCTCGTTCAGGCAAGATGACGGCATACACTCGCCCGCGTAAACCACCATCGTCTCACACCCAAACCCCCTCCTCCTCGCCCATGCATACGACAATCCGGATGTCCTTCCTGGCCCTGCTCTCACCCCCCGCCCAGACCAGGTCGATCTTTGCGCTTTCAATCCAAACCTCCATCCCCAAGACCATGGCCTGATTCTCTCCTTCGCCCTCTCTCCCCCTCTTCTCCCGACAATCCAACAACCAAACAATCACTCTCCCGATAGCAAAACCACCCCCCGCCCGCCCCCCACTGCCTATCCGGAGCTGACATGACGTCCAACCGCTCTTCAGCCCATCCCTCTCCGTCGCGGGGAGGAGGCTCAGCAGGCGCGCCAGGGCCCTCGGCGCCGGCTCCCGATCGCCAGACGCACTCGACGCACATCTTCGAGGTGCCATACCGCAAGGCTGCCGAAGCAGACGGCCCAGAACAAACATCTACACCTTCCTCCCCCCCTCCACCCTCACAACAGCCGGCATCTTCGTCGTCATCCAGCAACAACAACAAGCCACCACCCAAAATCACGCCCATACCGAGAATCGTCCCCTCGGGGTCGCTACAATATGACCCGCCGGGAAGTGAGGGCCCGCCGCCACCGCCCAAGCCGCGGCATGAGGCTCTCGCGCAGGGCCTCGAGGGCAGGTACGTCGACGAGTTCGGGAATGTCCTAGACTGTGACGGGACAGTCCTGGGGCGAGTCGAGGGCGATCTCCCGTCCATGGTCGGCCGTCCTGTGTCTCGGAACGGGGAGATCCTAGACACGGACGGCGACGTCGTGGGCTACGTCTCGGACAACTACGTTCAGCCGGAGCGGCAGGAGCTCGGCAACGGGCTACAGGTGGACGGGGAGGGCAACATCTACAACCAGGACGGGGCGGTCATCGGGAAGCTGAACGAGCCGCCCAAGAAGGATGCGAAGGGCTCTTGGCCGGCGACGCAGAGGGCTGAGGCTGTCCCGCCGGCGCCCAAGCCGGCGTCTGCGCCTAACCCGTCGGAGATATATCTGGATGTGAAGTCGACGTTTGACGGCATCCAGATCATCATGAAGATACCCACCATATTTAACAGGGACCACGACTGTGCAGAGCATGATAGGGAGAAGACGCAGGAAGAGAGGGTCAAGTATGAGGATCGCCCGAGGGAAAACGGCGATAGCCATCAGTGAACCAATCTGTAGTATAGCATCAGCGTTAGGGTTTTGGGCGTTCAAACGGGTTCGGGCAATGGATGATGCATAGAAAAGCTCAGAAGGGTTCCTAGTGAAATATGAGCATAATTAAAGTCCACGCGAGTGCTGTTCGCATGCACGACATTGGAGGGGATGTAACGAGACCGAGTTGAGCAGATCCCACGATTCGTAATAGCGCCTCACAAGTCCACGGGGCAGTGGGGCAGTGGGCCCGTCTAGACGATGGCTGCATCCTTGCATGGAAAACCTGTTTTGAAAACGGCGCGTTGATGTCAAGGTAGCGTAGGGAATCTCGATCCCGCTCGCCGGATTCTGGGATCGGCACTCCGGGAACCAAGGGTATGCCTGCAGCGGAGAACCCTGGAAAGCTTCCTGATATCATCAGTCGGGAGACCCCTACTTTGAGGACCTTGTTTAAGCCCGTCTAGCGTGATGTTGTGCATTAGTTTGTTGCGGGAGTGAGCGGTGGCGTCAAAGACGGCGTCATTTGAGGGCGAAGGCCGTTTCTCCTTGATCATTTTCCCAGAAACTCATCGAGATGACGTCTAAGGAAATCTTAAAGAGCTGTAAGCTTTGAAGCACATGCGTGTTGGACGTGTAATGTGGTTATGCTGTGACGTCTAGAAGCGCTGGGACACTCGCTGGGTGAGATTTCAGCCTATGGTTAAAGCTTGATTTGAGAACCAGAGCATGTATAAATCAGTGTCCGTAGCTCACGCCGTGAAACCTCAAAGATCCTGTACATCACTTAGTTCTGCTATACCCAAGTAGAACACATTACCTTAAAAAACACCAAATACCATGTCTAGCCAGAATCCAATGTCCATCCCGGGGGGATGGAAAAAAGATACGCCTAGAGAAACGCCTAGAGACACCCCAGCCCAAGAGAGGTCCAATCCAAGTACGTGGCCACACTAATACAACAGTCTTAGCTTTGGAGACTAACATTGTATTCCAGCCGAAGCCATCCCTCGATCAGCCACGGGCCATGTGAGCGACTCCGGGGTAATAATTGATCATGAAGGAAGGACGATTGGCAAGCTTGCCGAGTCCGAGGATGCCCGATCATTGGTCGGCAACACAGTCACAGCCGCCGGAGATGTCCTCAACGACGCTGGCGAAACCGTGGGGCGCGCATCTCTTGAAGATGACAAGGAGGAGGAATACACTACTGGAAAAAAAGAGACCACGGAACGTCCCAAAGCCCAGGAAGATGACGAAAAGTCTACCGGTGGCGGCTTCTTCAGTTCGGCTTCCAGCATCGTCAAGCAAGGCTTCGGATCATTCAGCCGTAGCAAGAAAAACTTGAGCGACGCCGGACAGGAGGCAGCCCCCGATGCCCCAGAGGGCGGAAAGGCCGAAACTGAAACGCAAGCAGACAAGTCAGAAGCCGCTCCATCACAACGCGCTGTACCGGAAGCAAGCCAACCAAATCTGGTCTCAAAATCCCAGACTGATCTAGAGGAGGTCCCACCCAAAACTGAAGATGAGTCCGTCACCGAAGCTGGCGACCCCAATCTCAAATACCCTCCCCCAGAGAGCGCTATTGCGCCCTCGGAGGCCCCTGAAGATGACTCCCGCACTGAAGCTGGTGAATCTCTCAAGAGCGGCCTATCTGGAGTACCTGACGTCCCTCCCTCTCAGGGCGCCAGCGCTCCTTCAGAGGCACCTGAAGGCTCTCAAGTAGGTGACAAGAGCCAGCGCGATGCCGAATCTGAAGCTCCAAACCTCCCTTCAAAGGCCGGGGACGCTCCTTCGCAAGTCCCAGACGAGATTCGCACTGAAGCCGGCGAGTCTCGAATTGAAGGATCGCAGGACGGTCCGGTAGCCCTCGAAGATCACGAGCAAGAGGATGATCAGAAGACGCTGGGCGGTAAGACTGATGCAAGCGCCGATAAGAGCCAGGTAACTGGCGCTGATGTCCCCGAAGCCATCGGTGAGGAGCAAGCTCTGGGAGATGAATCCAAAGCAGGCGAGACACAAGAGGAAGGCGAGAAGCTTGAGGGAGAGGCAGGCGAGAAGCTTGAGGGTGAAGCAGGCGAGAAGCTTGAGGGAGAGGCAGGCGAGAAGGGAGAGGAGGCTGAGAAGCTTGAGGGAGAGGCAGGCGAGAAGCTTGAAGGAGAGGAGGCTGAGAAACTTGAGGGAGAGGCAGGCGAGAAGCTTGAGGGAGAGGAAGCTGAGAAACTTGAGGGAGAGGCAGGCGAGAAGCTTGAGGGAGAGGAAGCTGAAGGAGAGGAGGCTGAGAAACTCGACTACACCATCCTCAAGGGCGCCAAGGTAAACAAGGTTGGCAATCTCGTCGATGACAAGGGCGAGATGGTTGGCCGTGTTATCGAGGGCAACGTCAAGCAGATCCTTGGAAAGAAGGCCGATGAAGAGGGCAACATCTGGAACGATGCCGGCAAGATTGTTGGAAAGGCCGAGCCCATTTCTCAGGCTGAGCGCGATGACCGCAAGGACTTCGCTCCGTTTGAGAACTTCCCAGATGCTGTCGTTGAATCTGACGGCCGTGTCACCTCCAAGGGTGAGCAGGTCGGCATCGTCGTTGAAGGCGACCCCAAGCGTCTTAAAGGCAGCAAGGTCGACGAGGACGGCGACATTCTTGACCGAAACGGAAACGTTGTCGGCAAGGCTGAGCCAAAGGAGAAGGACGTCCCAGTAGAGGAGGAGCCAGAAAAGAGTGACACCAGCTCTCTGAAGAACGCCAAAGTCAACAAGGTTGGCAATCTGGTTGATTCCAAAGGTGAAGTTGTCGGCAAGGTTGTCGAGGGCAACATCAAGCACCTCCAGGGCAGGACATGCGACGAGAACGGCGACATTTGGGATAGTAGCGGCAAGATTATCGGCAGGGGCGAGCCTCTGTCCACGGGCGACCGTGATGAGCAGAAGGATTTTGCACCATTCGAGAATTTCCCTAATGCCATCGTCGAGGCAGACGGTCGTGTGACCTCTGACGGCGTCCAAGTCGGCGTCGTCGTTCAGGGCGACCCCAAACGCCTCAAGGGTAGCAAGGTCGACGAGGATGGAGACATCCTTGACCGAAACGGCAATGTCGTTGGTAAGGCTGAGGCTTGGGATGAGCCAGAAGCTGAAGCTGAGAAGGTAGTTGACCGCTCTTGTCTGGCTGGAAAGCGTGTCAACAAGAGAGGCAACGTCGTTGATTCGTCTGGCGTCATCTATGGCCGCGTCATCGAAGGAAATGTTTCCGCTCTTGTTGGCCGCATGTGCGACAAGGAAGGTAATGTGCGCAGCGAGTCTGGCGACATTATCGGCAAGGCTGAGATTGTTTCTGAGGGTGAGCGCGAAGGATCCAAGGACGGCCCCTTTGCAGAGCTCTCGGGTCTTACTGTTAGCAAAGATGGCAAGGTCGTGACCCCAGCTGGCGATGTGGTAGGCAGACTTATCTCAGGAGACCCCAAGGTTCTCGCCGGACGATCAGTTGATGAGGACGGCGATGTCGTGGACAAAAACGGCAACGTCCTTGGAAAGGCCGAACGGTGGGAGGAGCCCGAGGTTGAGAAGAAGAAAGATCCTCTCGCTGGTCGACGAGTGAACCGCGAAGGCAACGTTGTCGACGAGGATGGCAACATCATTGGCAAACTTGTCAGTGGCGATCTTCAAATATGCTCAGGCAAGGAGGTCGACGACGATGGCGATGTTGTCGACTCCAAGGGCCACACCATTGGCCATGTATCTCTTCTTGAGAACATTCCTCCTGAGGTTGAGCAGGAGACTGAAGAGGAGAGAAAGGCTCGTGAGGAAGAAGCCAAGCTGAAGGAAGAAAATGAAAAGGACAGGAAGCTTGCTGGACAGCTCGGCGGATGCATTGAGCAGGTCCTGGACAAGGTCCGACCTATGTGCAAGTTGATCACAGACAAGATCGACAGTGCAGAGCGTACTCCCAAGGAAGAGCTGGACGAAGAGGCCCTGGTCCGGGAGGTCAAGCCCCTGATTGAGGAGGGCGGCAAGATCCTGAGTGAGGCCAACGGCATAATTCGTGGTCTTGATCCTGATGGCCGCATTCAGCGTCAGGCCAAGCAGAGATCAGGTACTAAGGAGGCTTCCCCAGAGGAGCATCATCTGGCAGAGCAACTGAAAGAGGTATGTTGAAACATATCGAACACCCCCATCCGGACTGAACGCTATACTAACAATTGTTATCAGCTCACCGGCACTGTCACCCAGACAATCGACAATGCCAAGCGCAAGATTGAGGGTATGCCTCATGCCAAGAAGGAACTCAACCCTCTTTGGGGTCTTTTAATGGAGCCCTTGGGACAAATTCTCGCCGCCGTTGGCTTGCTGCTCACCGGTGTTCTAGGCCTAGTTGGCAAACTGGTAAGTTGACCATGTTTCAATGTGGTCTAAACATTCTAACATATCGTGTAGCTGAGCGGCCTTGGCCTTGCTCCCCTGGTTGACGGCCTCCTAGGCGGCCTTGGGCTGAGCAAGATCTTGGGCAGCTTGGGATTGGGAAGTGCGTATGACGCGCTACTTGGAAAGAAGAAGGATGGCAAGAAGTAGGGATTACTCTCTTAAAGGCTGGATGGTTGGATCGCGTGTTATTTTGAAATTTTAACAGTGTATGCCCCTGTATTTTACTCTGCTTTCTTTGGATCTTGCAAGCAATATTAATATTGAATCGTCCTTGAAGTTGAGCTCCAGCGGGTGTAGGTTAAGCAACCAGTGAAGTCCACCATTAACTGCATGAAATCGACTAAGTACATAATGTGGGTCATATGTGTCAATCGCGCATACCACTTTATCAGTATTCTCCCCACCATAAAGAGCACCTGAAAAATTCTCCTGCTTTGCACTCTTCTTAGCCTCGTTCATCAACACAGCTTTCTCTGCTGTGTGAGCTGCTTGTCCTCTCCCGTGAGCGACAGGTAATGCCAACAGGAAGATCTCTGCGACCTCGCCAAGGTCAAAGTCATTAACCATGCGGCTCTACCTGATCCGTCACGGCGAGACCGTGGACAATGTTGCTCAGCTCTACTCGGGCTCGCGCGACTGCGTCCTGTCCTCGCACGGCGTGTCCCAATGCCGGCGCCTCGCCTCGTACCTCGCCGAGCGCTTGCCAGCCAGCGGAATCCACATCTTCTCGTCCGACCTACAGCGCGCTGCCAAGACGGCCCAGTCCATCTGCGACGCGAGGGGGAAGGACGAGGTGGTTTTGCAGCTGCCTGAGCTCCGCGAGCAGCACTTTGGCAGTGGCGAGGGCACGAAGTACACCCTTGCTCAGCCCTTGGAGGGTGTCGAGACGCAAGAGGATATGCGGACTAGGGTGGACAGGTTCCTCAAGGATCAATTGCTCCCACTTTTGACTCCCCAGAACGATATCCCCGTTGTCATTGTCGCTCACGGCATCCTTCTTAGTGTCCTGTTCCGTCGTCTAGGCGAGCACCTCCCCCGTGGTGCCGTCGCCGTGACCAAAGAGGCCGAAGGCGGCCACCCACCCTTCGCATACATCAACGACGTACCCGCGCTCGTTGTATGGAGCAACACTGGCTACATTGAAGCTGAGGTGACCCCTACTGCTGCGGCAGACTGGTCGTCGGTGAAGCTTCAAATCGAGCGTATCAACTCGGTTGATCACCTTACAGGTCTGCACAAGACCCGCGGCGGCATTGGCAGCGCTGCCTTCGACGAGAAGCAGAAAACGATGGACTCGTTTCTCGCTCCCAAGAAGACAGACGTTTCCGATGCCCCGCAATAGATTCCCAATGGTATGTTACATCTTTCTATTTCTCCAACATCACCTCCTTCCCCCAAGCATATGATGAGAAAGCAATTTATTCACAGACCTGTTCTGAAATTAATTATGTGGAAACAACTTGTCCAACCGCTGTCTGACATGCTACCCTTACACACGTTTTTTCCTCTTCAACAATTGTTCATGTTGCAGTGGCTAACAGTTTGAAAAGATTTAGTGCATCCATTCCTCCATCATACTAGAAAGGGAGACGGCGTTGTATTGAAGTAATATAACTCATAGCGTTTTGTTAAATATAGAGGAAATTTAAAGAATTCTAAACATCTGCACTTGATTCATCCCGTCCCGTGAAGACTTTATGCAACCTCTTGCTCATGGCTTGGCCGACTGTTCGATCGGACATTACCCCATCCTTGTTGGCGCTCTTTCTCACGGCTTCCAGCCGATTTGCTCCTCCACTTTCCAAGCCATTGACGAGCTCAGAAACGGTGGCAAACTCGGTCGCGATCCCGTATGCTACTGGTGCTGTTACGCGAGAAATCTCCTGTAGCATGCGAATATACGTGTCCTTGGGGTTGTCCCCCGAGCGGACCTGACCAGACTCCATGCAGAACGCCGCATTCATTGTCGCCTGGTCCTTTTGCTTCCGGTATGGTATCGTAGATATGTGCTGCGTGAGCACTGTGATCCACTGCGACGTCTCCAGTGGTATCGTGGTGTGGTGAATGAGAGCATCGTGCATCACCTGCAGCTGCAAGAGTGCGTCCTCGATCGTCTCCTCCGACACATACTCCGTGGCCGGCGCGTTTCTCCGCCTGCTACTGGAGGGGCCAGCACCTTCCTGGACGCGCACGCCAGAAACGAACTGCCTGTTCCGAGCATTGCGGTTTTTGCGCATCCACACATGAAGGCCTTCGATAAGATAGATGAGTTGGTAGTTTGGGAAGTGTTCCGTCATCTTAGAGACATGATCATCCAACCCCCCGCCGAGGGCGAGCTGAACGAATTCATCGGCCAGTATGATTACAGCAACATGCTTCTCGTTCACAATGCGTCGAGGGACAGGTTCCCAATGGCCCAGATCTTCGTTGAACCGACTGGTGACTTTCCGCCTCCACTTGACGACATTGTCCACCGGGCTTTCCCATGTTGAGAATTCCACATCCAGTGCCTTCAGAAGAGGCTCCACCTGCGTCCTCGTCGTTGGGTTCAGGTTCGTCGACAGGTCGACGAGCATTTCGGGAGTTGAGATTTTCTTATCCGTGCGTAACTTGTTGACCTCGGCCAGGGCAGCCGCTCGCTCCTTGTCGCGAGCTTTGGCCGCTTTGTCTCGCTCCCTCTCGCGCTGCTTCCTGGCCTTCTCGGCAGCCGTGGCCGCTGCTTTTGTATCACGCTCGCGGGCCCTGTCGGCGCTAGACTTTGTGGGCTTCGACGCTTTCGAACGGCTCTTCGACACAAAATTGTCGCTGTATGATCGGTGGAGGGAGGGTCGTTTCCGGGGAGCTGCTATCAGCGCGTTGATATCAGGTAGCTCATCTTCATCTTCATCCGACTCGCTTTCAAATCCATGGACTGACGAATCAGAGTCCACTGAAATCGTAACTCCTGCCGTACTCTTCTGCCTCCGTAAGTCTGGCAATGTATGCGATCCTATCTCGGGTGCTGAGCTTGAGATGGGGTCCCAATCCTGTCTCGATGCAATGTTCGATTTGAAACCTTGTGGGCTCTGCGCACTGCTAACAATTTCAATGTCTGCAAAGCGAGCAGCCTTGGGTGCAGTTTCCTTGGCACGTTTCTCGCCAGGAGAACTGGCAAAGGGGTTCGACGACTCTACATGCTCAGGTACATGTGACTGCGGTGGGTTAGAACAGGGTATGTTCTGTGGTATCGGGCTCTTGAACGGGTCTGGGCTGCTCTGGAAACTCGTCGTAAATGATGTCGTGGGGGGGTTTTCGATGGTCATTAAGGGCAGTCCCGGCTTGCTCCGCGCGGTGGGTGGCCGCTCTGGGGAGCTCAAGATTTCGACAGGACCATTGGCAGAGTAAGGACTTTTATGCTGGTTACCATCTAATCGCGCTTCTTTCTGAGACGAGCAGAACGGGTCGCTGGTCTCTAGTGTAGGGGGATCTTTCGGGTTCACCCAATCGGACACTCGTCTTCGTTTGTTACCGTTGCTCGTTGACTCGTATATTCTTGGTTCGCCATTTTCGCTCGCACTGTCAAAATCATCACTGTGAATGTCGGTTATTGTCTCTTGGATGATCCGCTGCCTCGTTGCGTCCGCCGTTTCGATCGAGATATGGGTCGATTGTTTGGTGGACGTGATGTTGTTTGTTGAATTTGCGTGTGAGCTTTTGTCGAATGAAGGGAGTGAGATCAACTCGTCAATGTCAATTGTAGTGTCGAACTCGTCGGATAAGCATTCCAGATCCACCCGGTGCGGCTCGCTCGCGCAGGACTCTGTCCGTTGACCGCTCGGGACGTCGTCATTGAAAAACAGAGGAGGTGACTCCGGGGGTGGTGGGGGACTTGATGAGATCAAGTCAATGACTTCCCGTGCCATCGTGGGTCGTGGACACCAGAACTCATGGAGGGAGTTGGTCCATGGTGCAGGTTGTCGCTTATCGGATATCAATCACCACTTCGCGTTCTTCGTTTGCAATCGTGAGGCGGGACACTTGCGCGTAGTCACGTGATTGTGACCACTAAACTTCCAGGCACAGCTACGCACCTACCCTACATCGTCACTCATTATCAGGATATACCCCCTCCGATAAATGGAATTCTACATACTAGGTAAGCTCTATTGAATATTTGAAAATGGTGGGGGCAAGTCTCAGATGACATACTTGATCAAAGTGGTGCGCACGTCTCAGATCAGCTATGCAGACCGTTGCGGGCTCACGACATTGGTCTCAAACCTAACAACACATCATGTATCCGTACTTGTCCCGGAACTTTCCACCCTGCCCCGGGGGTGAAGAACTGCGCGTTCTACAAAAAGCAAATATTGTGAAACCGAAGAGACAGATCAAGTGACCATGGTCTTGGAAATTTGTTGATGTTGTGACGTGTTAGAACTCTGAAGTTAGCTGCTGCGGAACGTCTGTCACTGATGGCATCGTGATGGCCTCTACAAGCTTCTACTGCTCCAGTTTGGTGACATTGATGGATGGTCTGTGTGGTCGCCAAACAACAATGCTCCAGCCACCAGCGCTAAGACGGCGGGTATCCAGGGTGCCGGAAGGCCGGGACGACTTGAAACAACGATGGATGGTTTAGCAAGCCTAAACGGTCGAGTTATGCGACGGCATCAACTCTTTCAACGAGCGCCATCTGCGATATTATTGACCACTAGAATCGTGGAGTGAATTATTTACTAACGCTTTGAAGCAAACTGAGGTTCCAAAAATAGAAGATACATCTAAAGATTGGAGAATGAACCAAGCGTGCTGAACTGTGAGACGTCTCGCAGGCTTGGTTCCATCTTTTTTTGAGTGACACTTTGACTGGCTCGCACATAAGATTTCCGACTCACTTGCACATGCTTGAATGATGAAATTCATAATTGACATCTATGAAAATCTATCAAGGCGTCGGGTCTGGTGTTTATGGGTTTTGGGAACAAGATGGATGTGGTAGTGACTGAGATTCTCACTAGGCTTCGCAGTTTAGGTGATACTTGTGCCGCTATAGCGAGTGCCGTAGCTAAGTTACAGGGGAGCGCGGCGGAGGAACGCCCCTAATTTAGCTCCCGCCACAGCTCTGTTGGTCGCCGTCGATAATGGAAGGGCAATCAGATCTCGTGACATCTTCGTCCTGATTTCGCCGGTTGTGAGGCCCAACTCGCAGCCCAGCTCCTCTGCTACACCTCACCTCTGCCACATTCTGGAATCCCTCCGATCTCCTCTCAACACCCGATTTTCCGAACCCCAATATTGCAATCGTTTCTAAGGCTGTACACAGTCCTATTACCCACCGCATGGCCTCCCAAACCATCGTTCAGTATGAGGATATCCCTGATGATCTGCGCCAGATTGGTGACGATATAGTACTTGCGTACAAATCTTATACATGGGGCCGAGTACCAGGAGCTCATATGAAGCAAGGCGATGATTGTTTACATGAGGCACCGATGGCGGGAATCAAAGAGGTCCGTCAAACCCATTTCTCGATCTATCTCAAGTATTCCACAGTGCTTATCATCTGACATGTCATTATTGTAGGAACTCTGGGGACTTGCATTCAATCCTTCTAATGAGTCGGCGTGGAATCCTCTGCTCCCAGTTCCGAAGGCCAACCTTCCCGACACACTGAAACACAAAGATCTCCGAGTTTCGTGCGGCTTCTTGTCCAGCGACGCGCCGCCCTCTACATGCAAAGCCCGCACCAGTGCCAAAAATAAGAGAACACCTCTCATTGACAAAGCCCGCCGTCATGGTGAGAGCGTATACGTGCAACCTCGCCCCCGCCACCGGAAGCCGGATGAGATCGAGTACTTTTGGGCTGACGAGAGAGGGAAAGGCGTCAACCTGAAGATTACCAACCTATATGCCTCCGGTACACCGGAACTGATTGAAAAGGTCAAGATGATGGCTATAGCGCAGAGAGATGAGAAGGTGATGCAACACGCTATTCAGTATAACAAGGAGCTGGCAGCCTACTGGCTGAGGTGCCGCTTGGCCAGGGCTTTGCAAGAACGATTTCCTGAAATCCCAGTCCAGCAGCGGGTGTCCAATCCCACGAGGGCTGACTTTGAAGGATTTATCCGCCCATTGATTCTGCGTACTCTCATCCCGGAGGACGAATTGAAGAAAATTCAGGATGAACATCATGCGTTGTTCGAGGAAGTAGCAGATGGTTCCTAGGAAGATAGCTTCTCAGCATATTCGTCCGATTTCTGAAGATTAAAGACCTAATGCGATTTATTTCACCATGAAAAAGGGGAACGATAGCTGCACCGTGTGTTGCATCCGTGACATTAAAGCTTGCGAACCTATTCGGATAAGTAGACTGCATTTTCGATGGCGTGTTCGCTTCAGGGAACGCTAATTATTCCATATCCTTTGCCAAAGAGCAAGAAAGGCTTATATATTTGTCTTCTCTTTTAACAAAGGCCTTGGTTAAATTCAGTTTGAAGGGTTTGGTTATTGTTTTCACCGTAGAACAATCTGCATCGAATGACATTGCATAACGTAGCAGACGCTGAAGAAGACAAGTGGCGTCTGCCTCCAGTGTCCGAAACAAAAGGGCCTCAAGATGAAGGAAGAGGCTGGATAGTAACAGAGGAGAAAGAGGTGTCGGTTCCAGAGAACCTTGACATCTTCCCGTGATGGTCATGTTACTCAATATGGCCTTCCAAAGTATGATTCACAAGGGAGAGGCTTTATAAGCCCATCAATATCCCAAATACTTTTCAAAGGGCACTGACTTTAGAAAACCAACCATCGGCAAGGTACTCGATGCGACGATGAGAAATGGAGACAACAACCTGTAAATAATGCAATGGCGCGACAGTTTCAAAGTAGCTGACGGTCGATTGGTACGAGCTGTACGGGGAGCTAAATCTCGAAATCAGCTCGAAAAATAGAACCGTCGTCAGAGTTGAAACACCCGAAAATTGAGACGTATTGTAAGAAGAAACAAACGTATCTCGACTGGATGATGATTAAATACTAGCATATCTAGTGGGCCAGCAAGCGATGAACTTATTTCTTTTTTCCCGTCTGGACTATGAATAATAATTGTACAATACCCGTGGTTCGTTGACGGCATTGGTAGAACAAGCCCACACCAAAAAAGGAACAAGGATTGCTAGCCTAGACTAACATGAAAAAAGAACCGACAACGACAGGGTTCGAACCTGTGCGACCGAAGTCATGAGATTAGAGTATAAGCGACCGGAGTCAATTCAAGTCTCACCCATTAACCACTCTGGCACGTTGCCTGTTGGGCTGTGATGGCCACATTCCTCATATAGGTAGAGTTCAGCATGTTCCTCACTACCAAAAATTACCCTGCTCCTGACATCTATATTAGAAGCAAGCTCTCCGACAAATACCATTTTTATCTAGGAAGAAAAATAAATATGGTACAGCGACACTGACATCACTCTAGACTTCTAGCATGTTTAGAAGAGACAATCGAGATGTTCCAACTTCGCACTCAATCAATCACTGAATCATGTATCACGGATGGAATGCAAGAGAGCACCTCAGCTTCTATATTCATGAATATAATTTAGAATCGGCTAGATCATTTAGGCATGAATTCATTTAAATTCAAGCCCATAATTTCGGCTTCTACCTCATCTAGGTGCTGCCAAAGGGACCCTCTCAAATTACACGTGTGGAACGACGGTCTCGAACTGTAAATGTTGGTAATATAAACATCTGGAAACGGCATTTCGCGGATGGCCTTCATTGCTGATGAAACTCTCAGTCCTCGGTGAGGGGCTTCATATGGGTCATTTGTTGGAGAATTAACATCCAGGATGGGGAGAATACCCGTGGAATGCATTCCTTGGATGAGCGCACCAAGGTAGGATGATCTGCATTCGAGATTACAACCTAGCTCACCACGGCTCAACCCATCTCGTTGATCTTCTAGGTCCACCATCAATGCATCCAAGATTTTTATTCTCTCGACTTCTATGCCATCTTTATGAAGTACATTAGATACATACGAGCGGTGAAAATGATAGATGCGCGCTGGCTTACCAATGATGGAGGGTCGAATGGGGAGACCAGTTGTGTCCAGCTGCTTACAAGTGGACTGAATGGCCACCTTGGTGCAGTCTTGAAATATAGATGGCTCATCAAACACCGAGGATATCAGTATCCATCTAACTAGATCCTCACAGATGGTATGAGGAAGTGGTTCTTGTAGTAGACGGATCCATGATTTGACAATGAACCAAACAGCGTCTTCGCACTGTAGGTCATCCACCAGTGCAGCGATATCTGCAAGGGTTGCAAGTCCAATTTGATCAGGAACCCCTCTCGTTTGCCCGTGTATGATGTTCAGTACAATTTCAAAGGCTTCGGGAGTAAAAACCGGTTCAAACAACCAATGATGCAAACCATCCGTGCCTCTTGACTCCGTTTCCTTCCAAGGGCCGAGGAAGATTTTTTGCGCACGGCGGGAGGCAAGCATCATATGTTTTTTGGACACCTTCATGCGCACCTCATTCTTTTCGAGTGCGTCCTCTGCTGGCCGTTTCTCTCCATTCTGCTCCACATTGGGATCTGATTTTTGGTCGTCGGCTGCCTCGGAGGCTGATGTGATGTATGGAAGAATGATCAGTGTATCTCCGTCTTCATCGAAAACAAGCATTTTAGGCGGCGTTGCATCCATGGTTATACCGACTCGACCTCCGGAAGCAGTGGTGATTGTGAATGAACGGTCGCGGAAAAAGCCATATATGAGACTGAATAACTTCAAAATGATCGAAACCCTCGGCGTTGATAAGCCGATGTTGGGTAGATTTGACGCGTGTTGGTGTTTTGAATGAGCGGTGGATTTGTTTGTGAGATGGCGCGAATTCGGACGCGCTGAGCTGTAGCCACCTCGTTTCTAGGCGCTGAGACAATGCTCCCAGCACCGGGGGTCTTAGCGCACTGTGTTTAACATACAGTTGGCAAAACCGTCCATATAATCACTACCTTGGTTAATATCACGTTCTATCGGGCTGTTCTATTAGAAACATAGATGAAAAAGCCTTTGTTTGTAATTTAGATATTTCCTTGAATTTATTTCCTTCTTGATGGCGATGTACTCATTCTAGATATGAATTCTTTGTGCGTCGGGAGGTAGCTGGATGGGATAGTTCAATAGTAGGATCACACTTCTTGCGCAAGGAGCGAGAAGCGGAAGGCTCAAAGGAAGCATTTCGTGTTAGATGAACATAATCAAGACACATATTTCGAAGAAGAACTGGATATTTAATAAAGATGCGTCAGACACAAACCTGGTTCTGCTCTAAAATTAGGTGGATTGGCTCCAACTATCTCTAGTGTTAGCTTACCTACGGAGTAGATAGGTACCTAATGCTCTATTCTGGAGCTCAACGCTCTTAGCTAGATGGACATTGAAAACACGAAATAGACGACGGGAACTTGTCGATGTAGAACTAGCCTATACCGCGTTTGAAAACGTAGAAAGAAAAGTACGCTCCTTTTTATGTCTCAGGTTACCAAGCATGAGGAAGAGACGGAGTATCTATTCCTTGCTGCGGACTTCGGCATTTGAGCTGCGGAGCAAAGTTGAACCGGCGACAATGGGGATCAGAGTTCATTCACATCGAAAATACAGTAGCACGCCATCCCAGTCACGTCATAATTAATGAATCATCCTCGGCGAAACATGTCTCTGGCTGATTAGTAAGGAGAGGAGAACTGTTGCACCGGCGCCGAGACAGGCCATATTAAAGAATTCCAACAACAAACATCCTCCGTCTTGCAATCTCGAAATCTTGATGCTCTGAACGTGATTCCTTTTCATAGGATAGGCAGAGCACAAAATGGCAAGATCCGCAGAGTCGCGAAAATATGACCTCGTGGTGCTTGGAGCAACAGGCTACACTGGAAAACTGACAGCACAATCCGTTGCCAAAAACTTCCCAGGCGACCTCAAGTGGGCAATTGCAGGAAGGTCAAAAACGAAGCTGCAAGAACTCGCTGCGGAATTGAGGGGGATAAGGCCAGATGGATCACATCCAGGTACGCCAGCTCTCGACTGAGTCCGACTATACTTTACTAATGCCCCTATAGAAATTGAGATTGTTGATCTCGAGCAGACGGACCAGGTAGATGCTGTGGTGCAACAAACCAAAGTATGCATCAGCATCGTGACATACTGGAGAGTCGGTGAAATCGTGGTTGAGGCATGTGTCAAGCACAAGACGGACTACGTTGACGCGTGAGTGAGTCGGCGATCGCTCTCAGTTCCCAGCTAATCATGCGGGCTTTCAGGGCAGGAGAGCCTTCACATCTTAAGGGATGGATTGAGAAGTACCATGAGAAGGCCGAATCCGAAGGAACCGCAGTAAGCTCCTTTTGAACCAACATATAAATGGAATTGCAACTGAGATGAGAAAGCTTATACACGCTTCTTCGATGTATAGCGGCCCTCAAGATCTCCTATCTTGGGCAGCCGCGCGAGAACTGAAACGGGCGTTTGGAGCAGATACGAAAGAAGTCATCCTCACTAATACAAAATTAGAGTATGGATGGACTGATCTTCTTGCTTTTGAGGTTTGAAGCTAATACTCATCTTCGACAGCCCAAATCCCAGCGGCGGCACTTTTGAAGGAATGATGGTCGGCACATCCAAGAAGCAGGAGTCTAAAGGCCCTGTAGCTCCTCCAAACCCGTGGATTGTATCACCCATTCCCGGCACAGCGGTGCATCCCCAGGCAACTGGGCTACTCATCCGCGAGGATCCCGATCTCGGCCTGCTGTCGGAGTACTCCATGGCTCGACTTCAAAACCAAGCCATAGTCTATCGCACTTGGGGTCTTCTACAGGTTGCGAATGAAGGACTGGGCCCAAATTTTCAGTACAACGAGTACGACAGTGTCGGTTCCAAAGTGGAAGGATTCTTCAAGATGCTTGAATTCAGGATAATTACTACTTTGCTGTCTAATATCCTGACGCTGCGCCTGCTCAAGTTATTCATGCCAGCGCCAGGATCGGGGCCTGATGTCCGCAAAACAGCGACGCACCCCATTGAGATGCAGGCTTTGGCAATCGCAGACGGCAATGATGCGCAGCGAGCGACTGCCAGTTTCTCGTTCCCATCTGGATCTTACCATACCACAGCACTGTTTCTGAGCCAGGCTGCAGCATCGCTGCTTTATTCCAAGTCCCTTGAGGGTGGTATAAAAGGAGGCTGTCTGACGCCGGCTATTTTGGGAGAGGATTTTGTACAGAGAATCAGGGCAGCGGGGGCGGTGATCGAGATCTCGTCAAAGCAAAAGTGAAGCTACATGTTTTAGTTAGTCTTGGAATAGAGACTGATAATGAAATTGTCTCGACTTATCTTTTGATCAAACTTAGGGTACTTCCTGTTTTTCTGGCTGTAGAGATCTTCTAGTCTTCCTCGTGAAGTCCTCTTACCGAAAGATACAGGAAATAACTCTACATCTAGCTATACTGGTGCTTGCAGAGGTCCCGACTTTGCTTACATAGATAGGTAGTCTAATCTCAAAAACGTCAGCGCAACGTAAAGAAAAGGAGGTTGTGGGTCAATCTCGAAACAAAATTAGCGGTTTGAATCCCCAAAAGGGCTCAAACTGCGCGGGGATCCGAGTCCGAATGCATCGCCGCCGATCTCATCTCATCTTACACCGGCGTTGTGGCTTAGACGGCATCAGCTGCCTCGGGATGGATCAGCATCTTTGTGTTGTACCAAGATTCCCAGAAAAATTGTACAAGCAGGAAAAATATAAAAGCATGTTGCGCTTCCGAGAATAATCGACAGTCTCTTCCATTCTCAACCTTTCAGATTAAGTCATCTATTCGTTACGAAACCATGAGATTCTCACTCTTCGCCTCCCTGGCAATGTCCACCCTCGGGCTCGCAGCTAGTCTCGGTTTTGACTACACTGACGAGTATGCCCATATCGGTAACAATACCTATCATTACCTCAGAGCGGAACCAGACAATGACAAGAAATATGCCGGGACTGCCTTATTCGTCCATGGCTGGCCTGACATGGCCTACGGCTGGCATAACCAGATCTCCCTCCTCACGTCCTTGGGATACCGTGTCATTGCCCCCAATATGCTTGGGTACGGGCAGTCATCCCGCCACGCTTCTCTTAAGCCATACACTCATAAAAATCTTGCCAACGATCTCTCCCAGCTTCTCCAGGCTGTTCTGAAGGATGGAGAAAAGGGGATTATCGTCGGTCATGACTGGGGTGCTCCGGTAGTCTGGAGTCTTGTTGTGCGCTATCCTAAACTCTTCAAAGCTGTCATCAATCTGTCGGTTCCGCACTTCACTCCTGCGGCTGAGTACGTGGATCTTGCCGACGCAATCGAGGCTGGACAGAGAACATTCCAGCGCTATATGCTCCAGTTCCGCCAGCCAGGAATGGAGGAACGATTTCGGGGGGCCGACAAGTTTAGGCATATGCTCCGAGCTGTGAGCAATCTTCCGAGCCCAGGCCAGCTTTCTACCAGTGCTAATGTCTGCTTATAGATTTATGAAGGAACGACCGCCGATGGCCAGTTTGGTATCAACAACACGAACGGTTTCAACTTCGATCTCCTCGACCAGATGCAGGTGGCTCCTTTCCTGCCTCAGGACCTGGAAGACATTTACGTCCGTGAGATGACCAGCCATTCCGACCTACCCGTCGGTCTCTTCAACTACTACCGTACTGCAAGACTCGATTGGGAGGACGAAATAGCCTGGCAGAACAACGGGGGCTCGTGGCAGATTGATATTCCGAGTCTGTTCATCTGTGGCCAGAGGGACCAATTTGTTCCGTGCCAAACTGCCCAGGGCATGGAAAGGAACTTTAAGGATCTTCAAAAGTTTGAAGTTGACAGTGGCCATTGGATTCAGATCGAGGCCCATGATAAAGTCAACGAGATTATACAGCACTGGATCGGCTCTCTCAAATGTCATAAACAGTAAGCGACAGAAGCTGGATATGGGAATAAAGCATCCCTATTCACCTACTAGAATATCTCTCTCAAATAACCAATTATTTATTTACTGGTATCGGTATTTACATATAAGATTAAATTCCCTCGTGTGATTGAGTCATGTGTATATTTAGGATATCTCTTCCAAGGTTTCCAGCCATTAATATGCCATTGGACAAGGAAGGGTCAAGTCACGATCACGCTGGTCAGTCCAACCCGCGGATTTGATTGGAGACAGGACTACTATTGGCGTCGCTCATCGACTGTTTACCGTTAAACACGCTGACATCATTTTGGCCTTCATTGGAGGTAAGATTGCAGCTGCAGGCACTCACGAGGAGCTGATAGCGACGAGTGAAATGTACCGGAAAATGTGTGAGGCCTAGAATCTTGATGGTTGAGATTATAAACGTTTTCCCCCTTCCCCTTTTCGTTCTTTTATATTCTGTCTCCTAAGTAACTAAATCCTGTAATTATATTCACTGTAAGTAGCATAGATAGATTAGAACCATTTTTCTTTGTTACCATCGTTATTGGTTGCATGTGATAAGCTGTTCAAGCCTACCTATCGCCACATTCGTGATAGCAACACTTGTGACGAATGCGGGTGTAGAGAACTGGTTGAGCGTTTGAACAGGGAATACCACAACCGGCAGTCCATTTGTCCACTCTGCTGTCCACTCGCGTAGGTATAGCCGGCCTCCGGACGTCGAACGTACCCTACGTATGTAGATGTCGGCCCGCCCGGGGTTTTACAATAATCACAGCAAATATCCGAAACCCCGAAACCCCGGACAGCCTCTTCACGCAGAACACAAGGCAGCTATGGTATTCCGACGCAAAATGTACTGTAACGTTTTGCTTTCAGTTACTACGAACATTGGATAGCAGAATAATTATAGCTGCAAATGGGTTCGCAGTTAGTATCTTCTTAGTAGAATAACATTAGTCCTCGCAAGTAGAGAAACAACAAGGGACAAACAGAGATGCTAGTACAATAGGGCTCCCAGATCATCAATAATGAGACGATTGGTAATCAACACAGGTGGTGGGGACTAGTAGTGGTCTGGAATCTTTAATGCTTTCTTTATTAAGCTGCAGCATGCCTTGCTGCATGTAGACCGAACATGACCTGTTAAATCGAATGTAAAGAGGTCCCATTTTCTATCAACTCAACATGAACATTCTTGTGATTGGAGGGACAGGAATGATAGGCGGCCACGCTGCCCTTCACTTGCAGTCCGAAGGCCACAGAGTTACTATCGCAGGCCGCCGCCCCAGCACCGTTCCTGCCCTTTCGTCGATGCCTTTTATAAAAGGCGACTATGTTCATGAAGACTTCACCAAAGACCAGCTCTCTGGGTTCAATGCCGTTGTATTCACAGCTGGTGCTGATGTGCGTCATGTACCGGCAGACGTCGACCCAGGAACATACCTCCAGCAAGCAAACGGAACAGCCGTGCCCAAGGTGGCAGCACTCGCCCGTGACGCCGGCGTTGAGTACTTTGTCCACGTTGGCAGCGCCTACCCGCACATTCTTCCCGACCAAGTCGAGAAGAATGCCTACATCCGGTCTCGCAAGTTGGCTTCCGAAGGCGTCGCCAGTCTTGCTACGCCGTTGTTTAAAGCCACGAGCCTGGACCCGCCATTTGTGGTTGGGACTGTTCCCGGCATGGACGTTCCCATGTTCCAGGCCTATGTGCAGTATGCAGAGGGCAAGATTCCTCTGCCCCCCTGCGCACCACGAGGTGGGCTCAATTTCATATCGGCCCAGTCGCTGTCTGAAGCAATTTCTGGGGCGTTGAGGAACGCCGACGAGGTTGCCGGGCGGACTATTCTGATCGGGGACGAAAACCTCACCTACGCCGAGTATTTTGACAAGTTTTTCGAGGCAGTAGGCCATGAGGCAGGAAAGGTTAAAGCTAAAGATGGGGAGCATCCCTTGTTGCCCCAGTCGGCTTTGTTCGCTGGGGACAAGGTTGTCAGGTATGAGATGGATCCTAAAGATGAGCAAACTCTGGGAAGCTTTAGACGGAACGATATTGATCGAGCAATCCGTGAGATTGTCGGACAGTATCGCTTTATTTGAAGTACACTATTTGGAAACAATTTAATCATGTAAAGAATTAGCATACCACTGCTATGCTCCGTCGTCTTCTAGACGCTACGCCTCACTAGATATTCAGCCTTGACTGGATTGACTCAACATATCAATCACTACAAAATATAGTTTGTTGCAAGAATTAGCAAATGTTCTAGATAGAACTAGATAAATATCCAAAACTTTGTTCATGATTACTGGCACATGGTAGGACAGGTCTTGTAGATTCTAGATACCTGTCTGATTTCCATCGATTCTTAATTCTGCAGGATATCAAGCCAAAAATGATTGAAGAAAAATCGCACTTTTCATAACTGCCTGAGATTGAAACCATCTTCGACGGAAAAATGCTTCCCAATAATGCTAGCAATAAGGACGAGACAGCCCATTCCATCGAGGTGTAATGGACTTCCCCTTACTAAGGACGTAAATTCAAGCAAGCTAGTACAATGACCACACAAGGCCCTAACCCTGGCTCATCGACGGGTAGCATACTTTCTCCGGGATGTGCTCAAAGGAGCTGCCATTGCTGTTCATTGCCTAGCACTGTGCAGACCGTGAAAAGTCATTGGGTCATTGTCCATCAGCCCCATCATTTGCTGACTGATTTGAAACCAGGAGGGTAGATGCATGGTCGGCTGATCGGCGTCTGCCATTTCTCTAGAGAAGGAAGCCATTGCCGGCTCACCCACTGCCTCGCCCGTGACGCCCTGTTGACTAAACCCCATGGCATTGAGGTAGCTGTCGATCTCATGGGTCTCTTGCATTTCGTCACTACACAGGGCTGCGCCGAAACTCTGCTTCAACTCGGTGTAACGTAGAGCAACGTTGTGGAATACTTGGAAAAGGCGCTGGTGATTGCGAGCCGCGGCAGAACTCGAAGTAAAGGATTCCAAAGACTTGACAAAGTCGCGCATGCGTTGCAAATCCTCCTGATCCCCAGTCTCTATGACGTTGCAAAAAAGGACAATGTAGGGCGTGAAAGGCCGCAGCATGATAAACCTAGGATGTGGTATGTTAAAGGAACATGTAGTTTTCTCATGGCTATCTACCAAGATGGAGCCGCAAACTCACCAACTCATATATGAAGAAAGAAAACCAGACATCCTACCGGCAGTAACGACAGGTGATGTCTGGTGACAAGCCAGGGCTTTGCGAGCAGAAACAATACATTGTGTTGTGAGGCTTGCTGTTGGGCTGGCAGGCACTGTTTCAGTGCGGTAAATTAGAGTCTGGATGGAGTAGAGTAGAACTGTGTCCGAGTACGACATGAACTCAATTAGTTCAGACCATTCATTCTTTGGAGTGCGAAGACTCCATTCGCGCTGGAATAGTCTGTTAGAAGGAACGTTGATAATTGCGTGGTACAATAGGACAGCAGCGAGAGAATGAATCTCGGCTGTACAGACTCACCAAGGCGACCTGTGATTCAGCCGATAGTGTATCAAGCTCCCGTGACAGCTCCTTGACGGGAAGTACCCCATTGTCGCGCAAAATGGCCATGGCGTACGGTCCGTAGAGGCTTTCATATATCTTAGAGGTCAGCTTCGCAAGCTTGATCATAGATCGTGCATAGTTCAGACCAGCTTGCCCCCCTGGCATGGGTAGAGAGATGTCGCCTTCGGGGATCCGAGAGCACCGCCCAAGACGAAGGCAGAGAGTCTTCTCGAGGAAGTATATAGCCCAGAATAGCAGACCAGGCTCATTGGATAGTCCACAATAGCCCACATTGTCCGGTCTTGCAAGATGGTAGCCAAGGGAATGGCACGCCTGATATGCAGCGGTCACCAGCAACCATGCCCAGTGAGGCTTCAGAACTTCTATTGCATGTACTGCCTGGTAGTATCGGTTAGCCCATGTGTGTAATCAACGACGCATTCTACATACCCCTAAAGTCAGAGCAAGAACAAGCTCCAGGCTGGGCCAGATGTGAAGTTGAAGACTTAGAAGGGCCGTCTCTAGATTCTTTTGGCAGGTAGACTTGAACTCGGTCGTGTCCATTGATATATTTGGAGGCTTCTGGATCATGATTTGATCGTCAAAAAAGTCTTGGTTGCTCCGTTAGCGAATGAAAAGCATAATCGAAGGATCTTTTCCCTACATGTGAGAGCAGCATTGAGGATTATATAATCGGCGACGGAGTAATCAGATGCAAAGTATACCCTCAGGCAAATATCAGAAAGTGACTGTGAACGCAGGAATGTCTGTATAAAGAGAAACGTAACGTGACGGCTTTCTAGTTACAACTAAATTAGAATGAGGTACATAATGAAGACAACGAAGAACGAGGACAAAATGGACACTTACGCTGCGCCCCTCGTATGGCGGCCACTGACGCCTCTATAGGCGGCATTGCACAAGCCTTTGGGAATTGGTTGAGTTGTTGCACGCCCATATCAGGGTAGCATTTTGACATTGCTTGTGGAGCTTTGGTTGCCTGGACAATCTGATCAAGGTCGTCTAAAAGGTCCTTAGTATCAAAGTTATATCCACGCTCTCTATCAACAACCGTGACCCTATCAAGGAAACCCATGGCCATCTTGGAATGAGCGGATAATGAGGTTGAGCCCTCCGCCATCACCAAAGAAGACTCATTCTCATCTGCTGATCTGGCGAGCAGGTTGTCGGATTCGGAATGAGTGATGTCGGGAGATGGTGGGCTGCTGACGCGAATTCGAGCGCCAGGCGGAGGCACAGTTGGCGCTGAATCCAAGGAGGCGGGAGAGGATACTACTGAGTTGTTAGGGGAGCCATCCTCAGACAAGTTTGGGTCATGACGCTGGGTGCCCGGGGATTGCTCGGAGATGTTGGAGTTGGCGGATCGTGCATGCTCGAGTTGTCGTTCCAAGTAGCGGATTCTCGAAAGGCTGGACAATTCGTGCCATTAGCAGCCTGGACGGAACGTACAAGTCACTTTGAAAGCAGGACCTACTGGGCGGCTGAAGCAAGGCGTTTCTGCCGTCTTGGGCGTGCTACACGCGGGGACTTTGTGCATGCAATGCCCCGCTGCTGGCAACTGATGCAAGGCTGGTTGCGGTCACATCGTACCTGTGGATAGAGAAGCGAAGGGGCGTAAGCGTCTACCTGCACGCTCCTTAATGTGAATACAGAAATACATGTCCAACTACCTTTTTGATTCGGCAATTGTCACACTGGGTCAGGGTAGGGTGGTTATTGATTAGCTAGAGCTAGGCACATCGAGCAAGTAGTCAGAGGGTTTCAAGTCTTACAGCTTTCGTCGCCGGCACAGCATCCGCCATGGACAAGGAGAGCCACCCCGATAAGGCCAGCCGATACCGAACTACGATGAAGACCGATACAGAGAGCCTAGATAGCGTGCTAGCCAGTACTCGCGGCGTGGTGAGCAGATCGGGGGTCACTGTCGCGCGATAGGAGTGTTGGAGTAAGAGAGCGTTGGAGCGGGTGCGAGGGGTTCCGGGAATTTAATTGCCACGGGCTCCGAACCATCCGGTCCCGAAATGCCGGCGCTAAGCTAAGCGAGTTAGCACGATGTCACGGTATGAGGAAGGGGGCAGTAAAGAGGTTAGGCTCTATCATGATATCCAGATCACCCAACAGGATAGCAACAGATTGCACCGGAGACTTTGAAGAAGTTGCCATCAGAGACGATTGTGGCCGGGATTTTCTCTGGAGTTCCCCAAATAGGTTCTAAAATATCTCTACTCATGCCTTACAGAGGTGTCTTATGTCACGAGTTGGTAGATTCCAAAATGTTACTTTGGCCGGAGAGGACCTCGGCGGGCAAAAAAAAATAAGGCATGCCGTGACTACGTGCATCTAAGTGCTAGAGGACACAGCTCGATCCAGGTCCCTAATGAGAGACTATCAGCCGAAGGCCCGGGACGCCGCTATCCCGAAAGCCCGTGATAGGTGGCAAGGTTGGCAAGGAAATCGCCAACGCTAGAGATAGATGCTGGTGGCTTGGTCACGGAATTCCACACTGCACGTCTCTTCATAATATATGGTCGGATATTAAGAGTGAGGTTAAGCCTGGACTGATTGGTCTCTGGTAGTATCCATACAAGCGCATTCTTGATCTTCATTTCTCAACAAGCCAAAACATCCCACACCAACCTGCAATGAGTTTCGCTGGCAAGATTTATGTGGTGACTGGCGCCGGGTCCGGAATTGGAAAAGCCACTGTAAAGAAGCTCCTTGACCAAGGGGCCACGGTTCACGCCCTCGATATTACGAAGATACCCGTACACGAAAACACAAGCGGCCAGCAAATTTCACACGAGAATGTGGACATCAGTTCACGAGATTCAGTCAAAGCAGCCCTGAACGAGATTTGGCGTGCTAAGAATGACAACCAATGGCTCGATGGGCTTGTTAATTGCGCGGGTGTCCTCCGCACAACTGCGTACAATACCAGCGCTGATGAGGACAAAGTATTTGACTTGCTCTGGAAGGTCAATGTCATGGGCGCATGGCATGTCACCACAGAGTTTCATGCTCGGCTGCAACATCTCCGTCAATTAGATGGCCCCCAGTATGCCAAAGCAACAACGAGCATAGTCAATGTTGGCTCGATGGCTTCAGTGCGAGGTATTCCCGGGATGGCGGCATATGTGGCTAGCAAGCACGCGGTTCACGGGTTGACTAAGACTCTTGCTCAAGATCTCGGTCCCTCTGGGTACCGAGTTAACACGGTGGCCCCAGGTGCGGTCAATACGCCGATGATAGCAACGGAGCTTCGGGATGGCGCCCATGAAACGGACAGGGCTTTTCGGGGTGCGTTCAAGACATTCGCGGAGCCGGAGGAAATTGCCGACACCATCTTGTTTCTCTTGGGGGACGGATCGTCGTCGATTTCTGGCCAGCTTTTGGAGGTGAATGGCGGCTGGCCGTAGTCTATTTCCACGCCCTGTTTAGATACAGAACCCTTGGGCGAATTTAATCGGGATAGTAGAGGAAATACTGAAGAGTATCTTTGCGTCTGTTGGTAATGTCTATGCCGTATAGAATGCCATCTATATTTATGGTAAGAAGCGTAAATGGAAGAGAGATTCCATGATAATGAAATAACAGTTATTAAGTGAAGGAAGCCGTCCCCTTTTTCGAATGCAAGAATTTTTACTGTATAACCTATAGACTTTCCCTATGGTTTGCGGGCCTCAATGGTGTTGCAACTTGGAAGTTTAAACAGTGTCCTGTGTTCGTATGTGAAGATATCCGCTGTAAAATCTCCATTTTGCCTTTTACTGTGTGAAACAACTAATAATTGATAAAATAAATTCAGGTCTAGGTGATCGACCAACAACCCCTCTATGCTACCAGCTTATGGACTGGACTTTGCAGGAAAGTCGCCTCCGGAAGCAATGGCAACTCACTTCAGATCAAACCGGGACCAGTCTTCCAAGGCCTTTTCAGTCTCCTTTCGCCATTCCTGAAGACCCAATGTCCAAAACAATGGCTCTCTCACTTTCCCGGGAATATTGGAGCCGTTCCACCAGGAAGGTGTATCCTTGGCCAGTGATTGACCATACACATCAAGATTGCGTTGAACGTATTCTTTGGCAGGGGCAGACTTGACCTCAAACGTAGTGGCCTGTTCATCTTTCAGTTTTCCAAGGAATCGTATAATCCAGTCGACCTGCAGCTCAAGAAAAGGTGGCCCGTTGGCAAGCCCCGAAGGCGCCTGCGGCCCATAGAGCATGAACATGTTGGGCAGCCCAGGGGCAACCATGCCCAAATAAGTCTGGATAGACGAGGACCAGCGCTCTTGCAGGCTCACGCCGTCTTTGCCAAGAATGTTCATCTCATACAAACTTCCTGTGACTCCGTCGTAGCCGGTTGCCATAATCACTATATCCAAGTCGTAAGAGGGCGTAGCTTCCTCGACAGTGGCATCATCGGAGATGACCTTGGTGGTGATGCCCGTTTTTGTGAATTCTTGTATGGCTTCCTTTTTGAGGCTCACCAGCTTGACATTCTGCTGATCAATCATCTCATAGTAATCCATCTCCAAATTGGGTCTCTTGGTGCCAATCCACTGGAACTGCTGCAATGGGGCCATTATGTCCCTCTTCACCGGATCCGTCATGCGTGAACGAGCAGCCTTGGCCCAGTATTGGTAAAGCTCTGCGTTGGCGGCCTTATCATAGGTGTGCTCGGGGTAGTTGCATGTCAGGATGGCGTAGCTGCCTCGAGCCCAGAGGTCGCTATAAAACTGCTCGCGCTGCTCAGGTGTGTCTTGATAAAAGGAGCGAGTTGGAGGGTCGTACGCGTAGCCAGACTGGTCTTTTGTTTTGGCATGTGAGAAGAGAACCTCGTATGCATTCTTCTTCTCTTCGGATTCAGCGGCAGAAATAGCTCGCTGGCCCATAGGCAGTGCCGTCGGCGGGTTTCTCACAAAGACAGTCAGGTCCGCTCCGACATTTTCCTTGGCGAGTTCTTGGAGAATCTGTAGACCAGAAGCGCCCTGACCAACAATGCCCACCTTCTTTCCACAAAGGTCAAGATCAGATGGCCATCGACAGGGGTGCACAATAGTCCCTTGATAGTTGTCTAGCCCTGGGAATTGTGGAATATACGGCTTGTTGGTAGTTCCCGTTGCAAATATGGCGTACTTTGACGTGGTACGAATGCCATTATCCGTTCTCATGGTCCAATGATCCGAGGCAGCGTCGAACTTTGCCTCAACAACACGAGAATCAAATATGGCGTCTCTGTGAAGGTCGAGAGCATTGCTCATTTGGGCAAAGTAATCACGGAGCTCGACATGACCAGGAAAGCGTTCCGTGAAGTTGAAAGAACGCCACGTTTCTGCAGGCTTGCTCAGTTGATACAGGGGCACTTCGGAGTCCACACGCGCTCCGGGATATTTGTTGAAGTGCCACACTCCACCAAAGTCGCTCCCGGCTTCGATGAGCTTGACGTTGTACCCAGCTTTGCGTAGCCAATAAAGGGCGCTGCAGCCTCCAAAGCCACCGCCGACAATGACAATGTCGGCCGTGATGGATCGTAAGCCATTTGAGCATTGACTTTCTAGAGTCATCTTTGGCCTGACTGATTGCGTGGTCCTGTCTGGATTGTTATTTCTCTGGTAGTCAGGTGAGATGTTTGGTCAAATAAGTGTAGATGCTAGTGATGACCAGGTCTTATCTATATGTAATCGTATGGTTGTATTCTGATCCCATGAAATGTACCTTTGCTACTCGGCTCGGAGGGATCTTAATAGTCAGCAACGTGAATGGATGGACTCCCTGCAAAATATAATGCCATATTTCTAATCATTCTTACACCTTTGAAACTTGTGACCACAGTTATTCGAGAATGGTGCTTAGGCTGATGTTAGAGCGGGTACCGGGAGAGCGTCATGATCCTGAGTGGCTGCTGAATGAGGCCACGGTCAGATACAGAGCGTCCACGTTGACCAAAAGACACTATTCCGGGGTAGAAATGATGGTAGGGGTGCAGAATAGGCAAAGACCAAGTGGTGGAGTGGTGACATGCAGCCCCATTCCGGGGTTTCGGGGTGCGAGATGCACGTCGGGGTTCTCTAATGGCATCGAATTTCTTCCTAGTCAATCATTAATGATTGATTGTGCAGCCGAAAACCCGACATCCGAAACCCCGGAACGGTCACAACACTCCATCATTCGGTTAGCCAAAGAATGGGCAAACACACATTTCCGAAACCCCAGCGCCGTCTTCTCGGGCATTATGGACTAGTAGAGTTATGAGCCATGTTACATGAGAGGACAGAGTTGAATCAACCCCAGCCGAAACACATAATACAGCCCTCCTGGCGATAATCTGTAGATTTTTTGAACAAACTGGCCTGGTCCGGAAGCTTCCGTTGTTCTCAAAATAACTGGAACGTCATTTGTTCCTCTATTTACCGTCATCATGGCTTTGTCTGTTGATACAGAGTTCATCACTGCTCTTGGCCCTTTCCTTCAAAGCCAACAAGACGTCGCAAAACCGGCTCTTCACGATGTAAACGCCAGAAGAGCACGTTATGCAGCGATCGGTGGCCTAGAGCCAAAAATACCTAAATCTGTAGCTTTTGAGATTAAAACGATCCCGGGGGAGGGCGGCTCTACCCTCAGATTATACCATTTCAAACTACGCGAACAGCCAGATACATCACCTGCCGTCCTACACTTTCATGGAGGAGGCTTTATAAGCCTTACTCCAGACATTGTGATCGAAAGGCTTGCCTTGATAGTGCGTGATACAGGCGTGCAAGCCTTCTCCGTGGATTACAGGCTCGCCCCTGAGCATCCATATCCGGCTGCCCTTAACGACGGCTGGTCTGCTCTGGAATGGATCCGCGAGAATGCTCAGGCGCTCAAAGTTGACGCGGCGCGCATTGCAGTCATGGGAGATAGCGCTGGGGGCGGCCTTGCTGCTGCCATGACTATCCGAGCACGCAATATCCAACTCCATCCTCCCCTTTCTTATCAGATTCTATGCTCACCTATGCTTGACGATCGAACTCTGGGGGAGGTTCCCGGTGATTTCAAGCTCTGGGATGAAGACGACAACCTGACCGGCTGGACGGCATATCTAGGCAAGCCCCCTGGTGGAGATGATGTGCCGGACACTGCAGCACCAGCCCGTGTCAAGGACGTCGCTGGCCTTCCAAGGCTGTATCTTGATACATCTCAGTTTGACTTATTTGTCAAAGAGAATGTTAACTATGTGACAAGGTTTATTGAAGCAGGAATTGAGGTGGAATGTCATGTCAGTCCGGGCCTCCCTCACGGTTTCGATGGCCTATTGCCTAGCCATCGGGTGTCTTTGGCATATGAGGAGAATAGAAAACGAGTACTCAGACTTCTTTAGCCATCTGGGATTTTCTCGTTAATTCAAGCAGATATATTTCTTTCATTTTTTGTTGCAACAGTTGCAAACCTGAAATCTCTGTGCGCTGCTAAGACAAGAGATCGCTACGAACCTTCCCAAAGAACCATCTCTAAATTGAAATACCGATCTCGCATTTATTGTGGCCTTACGTATGGCAGTTGACTACTATGTAGTATTGGGTGGTGGTTCGATAAGACTTACATAGAAAGTTTACCAAGCTGTGTCGACAGCTAATTGCTTACAACCCCGTCTCGAAGGCCCATGGCATCAAAGACACTAAGAAGGGCGCTCTTAAGTACTCCTAAAAGGCGGTGGACAACGTGGGACCATTCTTATATTTCGTCTTTTGAGAAGAGGCAGGCGTATCTGTTCAATGGCCCGCGCATGTTATCATGCCTCCAGGAACAGGGCTTCGAGTTTCACTTCAGCAAAGGATCCCCAGACTATTATCTATCTCTCAGCGGGGCTTTTGGCAAAGGCGGTGGTCGCGCCATAGAGTCAAAGGCGTTTAATACTAAAAAGCTTGGGAATTATATCGTAGTTGTAGGATAGTATTTACTAATATCTCTACTTTAATCCTTAGCTTTTCATTAATAAATACCTATGTAAGTGCTTAGCATATCTATAATTATAAAATTACCCATGTACGTTATTTTGAAAAGATTTAAAGAAAATTCTACCTTAATGTTTTAATTAATCAAAGTATTAATTAGTTAGGTAGTTTATTGTAGGGGATAAAGTAGATCGAATCAGAGAAGCGGCTCCGATTCACACATCCAAGTAATACGCAATTCTAGAACAGATGCTTCATCAAGCGTTTGTCGGGATCTTCCATCAAAAGCTGGCGATATACGGGAAACTTCAAACTCGGGATTTCGTGCTTTCAAGCAAGAAAAATCTCTTTCCATGCTGGCCCTGGTTCGAAACTATCGTTTAAAGCTCCTGAGTCAAGCCAGCCGATTCCTCTTCGCTCACTAATCCCATCACGTGTCTCGATACACATGACAAAGAAGGGGAGAGGTTTACCATACTTATGATGAGTCCGATATCCCTGACTACTCGGGACACTGAGTAGGATGACTTCAAAGATTGTCTGGTCGACAAAGAAGGCGTCCTCGTCATAACCATCCATGAAGAGTTTGCCGCAAGTCACACCGTCGCGGGTACTCAGGCACGCCGAGCTACGGAGGTCATCAACGTTTGTGAGCTGGAAAAAGGCCGAGAGAGTCCAGAAGTGCAGAACCGCGTAGTCTGTAAAGTGAGCACCAACTTGCCGGCCGCGTTTGGAGGGTTCGGTATGGGAGGTTGAAAAGGGCAAGTGCGGGCAAAAGGATTCAAACGGGCGTCTTATAATACCGTTAGGATTAGGACCTGTCGCAAGCTCTATACTCCCCAAAGCGGTTGCCTTGTGCCAGGTGATCCAATGACAGGTTTCCTGCCATACATAATTAGAGACTGTGCAATTGAAGTAGTGTCTGTTAGTGAACGGTTCGTATCTCGAAGAGAATTCGAGACGGCCTATCCAGCCCGACCAGGAGTAACTGGGAAATCCCTTCCGACGTCGCAGCGAAGTATGCTTGCCATAAAACAATAGAAACTCGTCGAAAGCATTCATGGGAAGGCCTTCCAAAAAGGAGGTGTTTTCCATCTTTTCTCCGAACCGTCTCGTGATACCAGCAATTGCTCGGTTCACATCGCTCTGGTTCGTCAATGCGCGCTGGCTGTAGAGCTCGAGGAGCGATTGGAAGCCTGAGACTGGCTCATACTTCATGATGCCGAAGAGGGTCCCGGTGGAGAGATTTCCAGCTGGGGACTGATCCAAGCCTACCATTGTCTCAGAGTATACTCGGCCGGGGCAGCGAAAGTATACTTGGTCGTTGACGAAACAAAGTGATCGGCGTGATAGAGCTTGTTCCTGCAGTCTTTTCTTTGTTTAAATCTTTGAGGTTAATAACGGAATTCTTTTTTGAGAGAGAGACAGATCTAGTGAAATACTCACGTCCAACCGCGCGAATTGTATACTGTATCTTGCAAGAGATGGCAAGGATCCGTGTAGACAGCTAGTCGAAGCCCTGGCTCTATCTCAGCTATTGCCTGTGACGTTCCACGGCTTCCGGGGCCAGCCCCCCGCAGACCGGCGTTGGCATCTTTCCCGCCGGCCGCCACGATACAAAGGATGGATTGCTCATATATGAGATCCATGACGCTTGTGCCATGCCGTAGGTCCTCCGGGTCGTTTTGCACAAGACACAGGGAATCCACCCACAAGTAACGCTCTCCGACAAGTTGTGTGATTGTGATGGCATCTTGGATGGTCTTGGGTATGAGATCCCAGGCTTGTCGAATAGCGTCGGGTTGCATCAGGCGATATCTGTTTGTTCTTGAAAGGCGAAGACTAGGGACAAATCCCCAGACGTAGCTGAGTGTGACATACCGAGTACACTCGCAAACCTCAACGAGACAGTGCTGGTGAACATCAATCAAGCGCAGAACTTTCAACCCGGGGAAGACGTCCCCTAGCGCTGCTCCTCGATGTCGCAGAAAAGGATGGCAAGAGGAATGCGTCTTTTCGCACTCTGCTAGCCAACTCCTCACTTTCCCAAAGTCTATCTGCGACTGCGAAAACGGCATGTAAAGGCCGTGCGGGTTGGTATGGGCCGGCTCAGATCTCGACCTGACAAAGGACAGGACCGTTCCGGCGGAGATGCCTCTCGACGCAAGCCAGACGGAAAATACGCCGCACTGGGACGGATAGTTGAGCCACCATAGCCCAACCTCGTGGCCGTCGCCGAGCAAGTAGTTCTCGGTCCGCTGGATCTCGAGAGTGGCAAACGTGACGAGCCTGCAGAGTGGGCAGTCGCGCACCCGCACCTGGCCCAGAAGGCCGAGCTTGAGTATGGCCTTGGGTTTGAAGATGTTACGTTCGGCGAGCACGTCCTTACCAAAAGGTGGGTGATCCTTGTCGAAGCCGAAGCCGCTGCAGGTACGGCACAGCCGGCCCTGAAAGACCATTGGTTGTGTGTCCTACGGACCTCTTGCTCTGTTGTCTTCGAATCTCGGCCGGCCTCGAGTGTTAATGCGGTAGAATTTGTGAAACTCATAAAAACGTTGCGCATTGCGTGCAAGAAATGGCCGGTTATTACTGCTTTACCCCGCGCTTTTGGGAGGGGGTCGGATTTTGATAAGACTGCGCCTCTGAGAGGAACAACTCACACGAGGCAGATTTTCTGACACTTGGCAAGGCATCCAAAGCAGACGGCCCTTATAATATCACAAAATACCTGGCTCAAGTCAACGCATAACGTCATAGGGCAACCTGGTGGAGGGTATCTGCGAACCACATTCTAGCTCGCCGATTCAGACTGTTCTACAGCAAGTATTAAAATATATAGACCTAGCTAAAGCACCGATTGATGTTCACATGTCCCAGCCATTAGCGTAACTCCTGGAATCTAGTCCTGTCCATCATTTTCAGATTTCTTTTTGTGTGGAATGTTTCCGATAAACAGAATGGAAGTAGCTCTCTATATGGTGTATATACATAGAAAGAGGTAGGCTACCGTATATTGATTTTTCTCTCACTCGACGCCCGAACGCGAAGAATATATCATCCTCATAGAGAAGCTTGACACAATAGCTCTAAGACAAAGATGATGCTTGTCAGCGAGTGAAATCGTTCTCAGAAAAACAAACTTTACAAAGTTCCAGCAATGAATTCAAATACTAATGTGCAACTTGATGGAATACTCATCTCAGCCAAATCGTAGCAGCGCTTAGAGGTTCACTCTCTGAAGCGTGTCCATGAGGAACAGCCGGTCTCTATGAACCGCAGCAGTCATCAATTTCTCTAGAGACTGAGGATCCGGGAACAATCGTCTACTGTAGAGAAGCTACAGCACTCTGAACTGGTATTGCAGATGCCTTGAAGTGCGTTAGTCTAAATAGTTGTTTCTATGGGTTCCTCAGTGGATGTCGTTTCATTGGAAGAAAGAATAGGCAAGCGGGCGCATCCTCGGTCTATAACGCATAAGACTGCCGACGTTGGGTTCATGACAATTGCTGCGGACGTTATTATCGATGGTGATAAGTTGATTATAGGGGTAGAAGAGACTTCCATACTTTGAGAATCCGCGAGCTGATAGGATAATGCTATGAGGGATCCTACGAGCATTATTTTAGCACAAGAAATTTCGCCGCCAATGGAACGTTACACATATCCTCTATTGGTAAGAGTCTATGAAATAGTTAGCTAAGGCTGACCTAAAGTTTTCCTCTCTACTTGTATGATAGCTCTATTAATTACAAGATTCGAGCCCACAAATACCTTTGTCCGTTTCAAGCGAAGGACCGAGGTGGGAGAACTAGTTATGAATCAAAATAAATTATTAACTTCCTATATTTCCCTAAAGAGTGTCGAACTCTGGAAATTTAGTTACTGTGCAAAAGGCAAATTCTTAAGGTCAGCTTGCTCGGTCAATCCTGTATCTCACATCACAAACTTCATTAGAGAATATGAGAACAGGACTTGTGTGACCAAGGAACATGACGGTACTCAACAAGCTACCGTTAGAACTAGTCATATTTGTTTTGAGTTGTGGATCAAATTGACGATTCATCCCGGCTCGTGGGCAATAGTCAGCCCGATGGCGAGCCTCCACGTATCGTCTGACGTCGTAGCTAGTCCCAGCTCGGACCAGGCAAGAATGTCAAACAACGGGAGCGCGAATGATTTTGCCATAAGGGCTATACTTCTATGCCAGGCGGTGGTTTAAAGTAGGCCATATGTCTATTATCAGGCACTCGACCCTCGAAATGAGTCATTGAACCTTCTCGAGACAGAGGTAATGCTAGAAGCCTGGAGGTCTGGTGGAACGAGTGCTGATTTTCAGATTGTCTATTTTTGGATTGTCCGCTTCAGGTTATATCTCTGGCGTGACGCCTAGGATGGAGGAGCATCAGAAAAAAAGGAAATTAATATCGGAAATATGTGGACATGAGTGGACATGGTGGTACAATATGGGGAGACTTCCGTTGCTTCACCCCAGTCATGCTGCTTGGCTTGTGTCATTTTCGGCTGCGAAATTGAACGGTCATGAGTCATGACTCAAAACACGTGTGGGTGCGCTTGATGACGAAATCCGTGCTCTTTGCTACTATCAAAGCTATCTAGTTGTGTTTGGCTATATAAACGCACGGTAATATTTACTCAGATTTGAGTGTAAGCTCAATGATGCTCTCAGGGGAAGCAGTGTTGGAGTAGATGTTGGCAATCTCATAGCCAGCCTCGGCGACAATGGCGGCCCACTCCTCGGTAGAGCGCTCGCGAGATTCGCCGAAGTGGCCCAGCATCATCATATCCATGGAGGTAGCAGGTACAGAGGGCCTCTCTTCAGACAAGACTATTTCGTTGAGGAGGACACGTGAGTAGCCTGGGGTAAGAGCGGGCTTGAGGTTCTGCAGAATTCGGACTCCATCCTTATCGCTCCAGTCGTGGAGAATGGAGTGTAGGAAGTAAGCCCGAGCACCCTTGACGGGCTGAGGGGTGTAGAAATCATGGGCTTGGATCTCGAAGAGGTCGGTCTTCTCGACGCTGGCAACGACATCGGGCTGGTCTTGGAGGACAAGCTTTCCCGGAGCTGGCTTGATACCATTGGCGAAAGAAGTGAGGTCGTGGCCACGGCCCCCACCAACATCAACTACAAAGTTCTCACTCACAGCCTTGTCAAATCCCTCGGTCAGTCTCTCGGCAATGGGGTAGAACTGCCACCAGTCTAGTTGGCCGGCACGGTACACAGACATGAAAGAAGCAAAGTAGTCCACAAAGGGAGGAGTAGCGCCAAGCCAGTGGAAGAATGGACGATCAGTCTTGTGAGCTGACTGGAACGGCCCATCAGTGAGGCCGGGAGGCTTGTAACCGGCGGACTTGAAATGCTCCGGGAAGCCCTTGAAGGAGGTGGCGGCGGCTCGCTGGCAAAACAGGATGCTGTGCTGGTAGTTCTCGGCGGCCAGGGTGTTGGAGAGCTCGGTTGACTGCCATCCCGTGGACTTGGAGAACTTGACAATGCTGTTGGCAACGAAATGTCTCATAATGCGCACGAGAACGGGGACAGTGATGCCAGTCTTCTCAGCGAGGGCGTCCGTGCTGATGCCTTCACCAGCATCACGAACATGCTGGAAGAGCTGGGTGTTGACAGCGATCTCCAGGCATCCGGACAAGGAATGCTACCCAAAATTTAGTCATTCTTTATGCAAATTAAGAGGCGAAAATCTAAAAAATGCGTAGGCTTTCACTTACCGTGGCGAAGTAGACGCGCTGGAGAAACTCGGAAGGAGCCTCGAGCTCGGCAAGAAGCTCTCGGTTGAGGCTCAGGAGAGTCTCACGAGAACCGGTCTCGTTATTTGCTACAGCAGCGGCAGCTGCCTGCATGCGCTCAACAGTATCAGAGGGGGCCATGGCGGCGATTTCGTGTTAGTATCAGTTTAACAAACGGAGGGATGAGAAACGAACCCTGGCGAGATACGAATGTGGCGTCTTGGGCCTTTAACCGTGTATTGGTTACCCAAAACAACCCAGGAATGCTTTTTATGTGGCACTCCTTTGTTTTACCGAAGTGGAACGTTTGCCCGTAATAATGAATGAACTATACTGCGGTTCCCTCGGCTCCTACATATTGACCCTGGTCAGTACTGCCGATGCTGCGAATCGTGATGCCTATCGAGCCAATGCCTGTCCGAACGACAGCTCCAATGCCATGCCAGATCCATCACTGACCGCGTATATGGTCAATTCACGTCCTACACTAGCCTTGTCAAAGTCCCCAAAGGACCCAGTTCCATCTCCATTCTCGCCATCCATCGTCCCCTTACGTATAGCTGGCTGTCTGTTAAGGCCTCCGCTATCAGCTCATAGTCTGACCCTAGTAGAGTTCAAATTGGTGCTAGCTGGTGGGTTGGTCAGGTGCCAGGGAGACTGGTGATTGTTGGATTTGTTTGTCTGTTTGGTAGGGATGTGGCAACGAGATGGGTGGAGATGCTGTACCGAGATGGATTTCACCCCTAGCTTCAGCCTCGCCCGCGTCTGATCCGCTGGCTGCCGTCTCCGTTGTCCTGGATATTTTGGGGACTAGCACAAGAATGATTCGCAACCAAGCACGGATCCGAGCAATTACTGAACGTTCAGGTGAGCGGGCATCCCTGGCTATGATGTGATTGTGTTGGCTGGGAACCTAGAACGTCTCACGCTAGGAGAGAATGGTGGACCGTTGACCAGGGGTTTGACCTGAAGTTGGACCATTCGACCTGACTGGGCAAATTATCCTGGTCCGACTAGCCCGATCCACGAACGGTGACCAGCGGGTCAGTGAGATGGAACCAGTCTACCGGCACCAAGACGTGTCCGTCTCGCGGCCCGTGGCCGTGTCGAAGACTCTTGTTTTTATAGTGTTGCCAAATATAATGTTGTATGATACACAGGGCGAAAGTTCTCCTCTTAATCATGCGGTGACATCGACTCGATAGCATAAGGCTTCCACAACATTTCTCTACTTGACAGAGTGTCTCATTTAGGCTGGGAGATGGCAATATGGATCCTTTCTTTTCTTTTTGTGAAGCTCCATAATCCACCTGCAGCTACATGGGTGCAAGAAGTTGCTCCTTCGCCCTGGATGTCTCCTGGGAAGAACCCGGAAGTCCGCTGGCGAGCAGATTACTGGGTTATATCATAATATCTGTCCTACGATAGCTTGGCAAACATAAAATACCTCTAAACGTACGGTAGATTCATGTTACTGTAGGTATCAAGAGATAGACGAGTCGCAATATCGTACGGTTTGCATAATAACCAAAGATCTTCAACGCTGTTCCATCCTCCCCCATCTGAAGCAAGCCTTCTCTGGAGCCCTATTCATCCCGAGCCACTGTTTTCCGTGACTCCGTATGCACGATGCATAAGGGGTCGCCGGCGATCGAGCGTCTGCCCCTTCTTAGCAACACCCGAAATTTCCCAGAAAGCC